CAGATAGATAGTTCTTCAGAATTTGACTTACAAACCTTATCGAGGTAAAACCAAACGTTAAAAAAGAATTTGATGCCAGTGAGAATGGTAGGTTCAAAATGACTCAAAGATTGTAAAAGTGAAACCAAAAATGGCAGGCTAAAAAAATCTCATTATATTTAGTGAGGTAAAACCAAAAAATGATTTAAGCATCAATGAGATACTTGTTTCCAAATTCCAATAAGAAAACAAAAAACAAGAAAAGTCTACAAAAAGAACTTTTCATCAACATAGAAAGAAGGAAGATCTTTTGTTTCTATTGAGGAACTCATGCCTCTATTTCTATTTCAAGCCTCAATTTTCATAGTATTGTGCGTTACCAGTGCTGGCAAAAATATAGAAAGTCTACTAAATCAAGTGTCTTCTAAAGCTAGCCTTAAAGCAAGTGAAATGTTTCTATAGATCAATAACAATGAAGATGAACCATGAGCAAAAGTCAAAACACAAGCACTGATGTCTCTCAATGTTTCTTTTCACTGGCTAGCTCTCTCACAGCAGTGGTTCACTCTATGGGAAGATTTTCATATGGTGTAAGCGTACATGTGAAAGAACGAGGAGCGAAAGAAGCATTTGGAAGAAACAGCACAGGCAGTGGAAGTGGTGAGCATCAGAGAAGATAAAAAGTTAGATTAAAGGATCAAGGATGTCTTACTAATATTGGACACATCCTGCATTTTTCTTCTCCCCACACCCACAGCGCTTCCTCTTGTTTCTTGAAATAATCTGTAACAAATAGCAATAAAAGAGAATTTCTTGAAGGGAGTCACAGGGAATATTGACAAAGGAGTGAGTGAAGGAATTGATCTCACAGCTCACGTGAAGAGCAAACCACATTACTCTCGAATGAAGCCCCCTCTGCACCATGAATTGTATCCTGTGAAAATGAATCTGAGCAGGGGAATACAGATTACAGATGGCAAATAATGAGGTGATGATGCTGAGAAGAGAAGAAGGGCGTGGGCGTGCAGGATATAATAATAGCCAATGTTTCTAAATTTTTATAATACAGTAATTTTTGCCATCGTTTAGTTGATAAACTTATAAAACAACAATGGCATACAGGAGTACACTTCTGTTACCATAGCTTATTCTATATCCCTTTCTTATTCCAACTCCACTCCCTCTTGTTTGATATCTTTCTTTCTTTTTCATGAAAGACGGCTCCATTTGCTTCTTCAAGTAGAGCAACCAGCAATAACAAATAGTGAAGGGGACCTTCTAAGAGTAACCACTACCATCCCTAAGTATCTGTACAAGATCAAGGCGTGACAGCAAGTGTAAAAGGAAAAGAGCAAAAGAATGCTCAAAATTACAGAACGCAAAATCAAATGCAATAGACTAGATACGCAACCTCGTCATAAATTGCTGGCTTATACAATTCCCATATATCTCTATTTTCTAGAGCTCACGGCCAGTGCTGGCTGTTGAGATTTCTAGAGGAATTATTAAATAAGAAAGGAGGCCTTTAAACCAAAACATTGTGCAATTGGTTAAGACACCTATCTCTGACCAAAAGATAGTAGGTTCGAATCCCCACCCCACACCTTATACTAAAAAAAAGAAAAAATAATGGGGGCGTTTACAAGCAAGGAAAGAACAAAGAAGGCCAATACAATAATTCTAGAAGGCCATCTTAATAAACAGAATAATTCACCATGAAGAAAACAAATTGAAAATTTTCATTAAATGGGAAAAGAAAATCTATAGTTCAATTATATATTCAAATACGGTCTACAGTATAATTGTCAAAGAATCAATGAGGGTGGGGGAAATTACAATCTGCCCAAACGGCTAATCATTCCTCAGTAACAACTGTGTTAAACCAGAATCCCTCCAATGGGACTTCACCCAGGCCACAACCCTGAAAGAATATATATATATATACGCAAATCAAATTAAAGCATAGTATTGATTCGTACAAAATTTGAGGAGCTCGCTATCACAGTTGCACATCTAAATCAACAAGAAGCCTCGGTAAACAAGAATGAGGTAAAATCAGACGATTCTAATTTACTGGTGATTTTTATTATTCGTGCGCCTTATGAGAGCATATGGTGAGAGACGAGTACGATAAAATCCTTGCCGGGGTCGACAACAAATTTTACAAGATATCCATTATAAAAGCCTAGGCTGAACTACATATTCTAGAACGACAATGAAATTTCTGAATAAAAGAATAGACGTGTTCCAAGGAGTCAAACCTATCCAGATCCAACGATGATATTGTTAATCGGAATGAAAATCAACTTGACGAAAAAACCGACAAATCCCATCACGACGAAACCAATTGCGGTACGGAGCGCCACTTTGGTGAATTCTGTGCCAAAATCGGCGCCGCAATTAATCAGATCGCAAAACAGAACAGAATAGACAATGTAGTTCCTAATCTTTATAGTTTATATTAATTCAACATGAATTGGTGAAGGTAAAACATGCCTTGGCGATCAGGCTTGTGGCATCTCTTGACGAGACGGACGCTATCCTTGGCGAAGCCTCTGAGAGGATCGATGACTGAATCAATGGCATCCATTTCCCGCGAACTAGAACAAACGAAACTCAGGTCCCGCCTAATGGCACCACCGATGAATGACTCCAATGGTATTTACTAAATTTAGAAATACAATCGCGGCCGGACTATCTCAAATTTAGAATTATCATTCATCTCCAAAGATTTCATTTACCTCATTTATTATTTTAAAAGTTTTCATTGTCTATGTTAATAGAAACAGGCAATATCTCAAACGGGCAGAATCGTCTATCAAAAATGGATAAAATGTTGATATTGATGAATATTTCTAGAAAAATTATAAAACTACAATAATGAAAATTTCGATTAACTTTTATATCGAATTTGTGATCAGTAATTGGCATGTACTAAAAAAAATTGGAGTGATCGGTTAACTTTTATTTAATTTATTGAGAAATAAGTAAGAAGCAAGACCAAAAATATAATCTCTTGAATAAAATACAGTATTAAAAAAAATCTAAATAGATGAAGCGTGACTTTTCGAGTTGAAACTCGACATGCTTTTATAATAATAAAAAAAATTGTGCAAATTAAAAGCTACAATACGATTGGTTACATAGCCAAAAGTAATTTCTAAAAATACTTAAATTAAAACGCTTTTAAAAGTACTTAAAAAAGAAGAAAGAAAAGTACTTCATTTAATATTAGTATGAAAAATCATTCCAAACAAATCCAAGAGATTTTTCAATAAACACTAATGGATTATTTACAGACAGTCTCTCTCCGAGTCAGACCGACACATGAATATTAAAATCATTTTGTTCCCTCTCCTCCTTTTATCTCACTGCCTAAATATAAAATAATAAAAAAACTAAAATAAGTTACTGTCAACTTAAACGTAACTTAATTAATTAATTAACATATATCATCAACTTTAATCGCATGTTGGAAAAAAAATTACTCAGTTGAGTATTTTAGCATCAAAACAGCGCGAGTTATTAGATCCTCCAAGAGACGGAGAAGGAAAAAGGGCAGAGAGAGTCCAACAGTATCCAACATTACGCTCCTAAGATCAACAAGGTAAAATTAATCTTAACCAAATGGTTAAAAGCCAATTCATATCAGCAGAGCATAGAATCTAGCAGAAACAGCAAGTTAACGAAAGTAGATGTCGATTTCACAGTATCCAGTTAAAGTTTTTACAAGTTTCTAAAGTTAAACCCTGTTCGAAAATAAGGAAACTGAAAAGGAAAAATACACTTCTTTTACGCCCTGGACAGAATCAGCAAAACGCAGCATCATTTTTTTCATTGCACCAGACAGCAGATCGATCATCTACACAAGAATTTGCTTAGCTGCACGGAAAAGAACATCAGTCAGAATCTGCTCTGAGATGTTAAAAGCTATGAATGATGAAGTCGGACATAATTTTGTATACGAACTTCCGTACAGATTTTTGACACCTAAAAGTTCATATTTGGTCGTAACATAGCCAAAATACATGTTAAAACTTAAACGCTCCACATATCTTTGACGAATACTAGTTATATGATAAGGTATGTATGCATTTCTTTGATAGGAAACAAAAGCTTTTAAGTTACAAAAAGAATACGCTCATACCAAAGAAGCTTACATAAGACCAAGCCAGTTGGTGTAATCAAAATATTATTATAATTAGAAAAGAAATTCAAGAGATCTCAAAAATGAGAACTAAGCCGATGAATTTCCTACCACTATCTTCCGGTTCTTTATTAACTTGGAAACTACATCATTCCTTTCCGACCAATATTTTTAAAGCAAGACCTTCACAAAGCAGTGTCTCAAAGAACTTTAGCCTTATCTTTCATGAAAGGACTTAAGCCAAACCGAGTATAGCTCAAGTGGTTAAGGCACCTATCTCTGGCCAAAAGGTCATGAGTTCAAACCCCCACCCCCACAATGCCGAACTCAAAAAAAAAAATATATATATATATATATATATATCACCCTTAATCAGGACTCATGGATATGGAACCTTGAGAAGAATGGATCTTTCACTATGAAATCCCTCACTAAAGAGCTCATGTCTTGAAGTGCGAAAGAAAATGGTTTGCTTTACCACGGAAATGTAAGTATCCAAAAAAGGTCAAATTCTTCATTTGGGAGCTTAGTCACTCTTGTATCACTCATGATAGGCTTCAAAAAAGATCACCATGGATTTCCATCTCTCCAAATTGGTGTTCTATTTGTAAGAAAGCAGCAGAATCTCAGAAGCACCTTTCCATCGCTTGTTCATTTGCTGATGCATTCAGGAAGTTTAATAAAAAAGCCTTTAACTGGTCCATTGCTCTGCCAGGCAGTACACACGAATTCCTAGCCACTTTTCTGATAGGACATCCTTTCAAAAGGGAGAAGAAAGCTTTGTGGCTCAATTTCATTAGGACCTTCTTGTGGTCTTTATGGCTACCAAATCTTCAAAGAAAAAGTGAAAAACTTTGACAGTTTTTTTTAATCCTTATCTTTTTTGGCTCCCACTTGGTGTAAATTGTCTACTTTGACAACTATAGCTTAGCCAGTCTTATAGTCCAATGGAGATACATTTTGTAATTTCCTTTAGATAGGAGTTTTTTCCCTCTTTTTGTAATCTCATCTCATCAATGAAACTTTTCTTATAAAGGAAAGGGGAAAAAAAATAATAATAAAAGAAACTGCTTGAGAATGCTTAGGAAAGCACCAATTCAATCCGAAAGTGTTGTAGAGTTTAGCCAATAGTTTACTGCTATAAGAACGAAAAAAGAAGACGTGATACTACTCCCCTCATTATCTAAGCACAATGGACACCAATTAGGGCTTGAAAACAGAGTAAGAATTTCTTTTTTGCACCACATCAACCAGTTCATACCACCTAACACCAAAGTCGAGCAAAAGAGGTTGACCTTTGTTGAAGGCTTTTCATTTCCAAGTCATCCTCACAGGATTATTTTTTATAAATATGGAGCACGAGCATCTCTCTTGAAATTGAGGAAATAGAACATGAGTGAGACGGATTCCATGCACCACTTCTCCCCACAATAAAAAGTTTTCCTTCGGTTGAGTGGTCTTCTGAAGAGAAGATTCCACCCATTTCTATCTGTATTGCAACATTGACTGATAATAGAACATTTGGAGTCTGCCAGGTTGAAAAGCCTCGGGAAACTTTCTTAAAAGGGAGTATCATAGACACAAGGATCAGCCCAAAAGTAAATTGTCTCACCTCTATCAACCGTCCATTTGCTCTTTCATATTGTCCTTGCACATTAGAGAAGAAAAGCCAAGGACTCGTCCCATTGGCAGCAGACCAACCTCCTCTATGATGCCAAATTCACCAACAATGTTCTTTACGAGAATGTCACGCCAATTTTGAGGAAAAAGCCACATTAATTTTTCTTATGTTTACCAATTCTGAGCCAACCAATAGGACTGCTGTGGCCGTTGTAGCCTATAGCCAGCCCACAAGGAATTCCTTCGGTCATGAGTCTCACATCCTAAACCTTTTCTTAAGGTTTAGCAATATTGGCTGCAATCCTAAATAATGATGGAAAACAAGGAGGAGCACTATAGAGAATAGGATTGAAATAAAGTTAATCAGCCTCCTTTCAAAAAACAAGCATATCTCCAGCTGTCCAACCTTCTGCCAATTTTTTTAACCATAGGACTCCAAAATCTATGCACGAGAGGATTATCACTGAGTGGCATACCACTATAGCTGAAAGGAAGCTTCTCAGCCTTACAATTACATGTCCGAGATCTTGAGTTACAAGTTACAACTCTCTGCATGTTGGTACCAATCCTAATTCCTAGCAATAGAAGATACTGAAATTTATTCAGTAAATCTCAAATATTTTCAAGTTCGTAAATGAACTCTCCAAGTTTCCATCATCATAGGAGCAAAAAGGAAAAAGTCATCCACAGCGTGGGGGTGACTAAGAGTCCTGACGTTCCTTGCCTATTTCCAGTCCTTTGCGCATGGCAGTTTCAACTCCTTTGTTCAGAAACCTACTAAGATCGTATCATCATATTAGAGTGAAAGGCACCATCTGTACTTGTACCCTAAGAAATTGATGTCTATGTTCTCTTTCATGTTCATAGTTGATCTATAGATTAGAGCATGTTCAAGTGAAGTCATTGTAGATTATTAAGTTCTAAAGACCTGAAATTGTGTAACTTGTGTTTGGTTCGTCAAAAGTTCATTTGAAAATTTATGTATTCATTACCAAACCACTGGGAGGGGTTGTGTAATCTAAGCCAGGGGGTTTTTTACAAAATCCACTTAACATGAAAGTTTCTTATCTCAAAAATAAAAAATAAAAAATAATAATAATAATCAACTTAACATGCTACATTGACCTAACTCCTTAGCCCAAACCAGTGAGACAAACAGGCATTAGCTCTCCCCAACTCATTAACAACTTCAACTTCTCCCGTTAGAAATTCACAATAATTCTTCTCCACTTCAATGCAAACCTTCATACCACCGGTCATTACTACAGTTCCTTTTAAGCATTCCCTAAAACCACCACTCATTACCAGGGGCTTCCATAATGTCCAAATTCCACATATTTGAAGGGACATTCCTCAATCTAACCAAATTTCACCACCTCCACAGTCTTAGTTTTTGGCTCGATCTCAACTTCCAGTGTTTCTTTAGACTCCCCATTTAGGAACTCCTACACGAGGTCACAATGAAGGGCTTCCAACAAACTAGCCCCTCCCCTACCGGAACAATAAGGAAAAATTTTATCCCATTACTCCACACCTTGGAGACCTTTTTTTCCTTTGAGACGAAACCATTACATTAATGATATGAAATTAGATTACAAAAGGGAGAAAACCCATGATAGGGGTTACAAAAAAGCTCTCCAATTGGATAACAAGGATGCAAAACTATAGTGGTGAAAGAGAGGGGAGCATTTACACCAAGAAGTAACCATAAGAGCATTTACACCTTGGAGACTTCAACATACCATCCTCTTTTATTCGACACCTTCTTAATAGTTAATCCACAAAAAGCCATCCTCAGTTCCTAATTGGCTAATTCTTATGAAATAATTTATAGTTAGTAGGGCTAGGAGAGAGCACTAGATCATCGAATAAGTTCTCTAACCAATCTACTAATAAGTGACCAACACTAGATCTTTTGACCCAATAGTTCTCCTCAAAAGCAATAGAAAATAAAATCCTCTCTATTTTATGAGTACAATATTTGAAAGACAGGATTCATTCATTCTAGCATTTATTCCAAGTAAAGAAAACATAAGTCCTTAATTCAACCCTTCACTTGAAGGGACTGATTCCTACTTGGCACACAAGATAATTAAGATTTAGGAAAAAATGCTACATACAGGCTTTGCTGAAAAAGGAAGTCACAAGAATAATGTTTTTTCTTTAGAAGACAAGAATAATGTATTTAGCTCAATGAGAAAATGGGGGATGACTTGATGTCCCCAAAAAATACATAGAAATTTTGACAATCTAATTTAATATAGATAGGACGAAGAAGCAAAATAAACGAGAACTAAAAGATAATACGAGTATGACATGAATATAAATTATACAAAACAAAAACACATTAGAGTTTTTATTCATAATTTTCAATGGCTAATCTTACCTTCAATAGTAACCATCAATTAAGTTTTTTAAAAATACCTACTTCAAATGTAAAGTTAGCTTCGATCTTTCAAAGAGAAATTACAAACAATGGAGAAAGGGTATGTATATCCACTCATACCAACACCTACAACCATCCTTCAGAACCTATTCTAGGATATCCTTTGTAAACAAATAATCTCTTCCAACTGTTTAAATTGTGCTGATACCTTTTCTAGACCCACAAATCCGAACCTCTAGATTTTTATTGGGTTTGAAACTGAAAATGAAACCTCAGCCTACAGCATTGAGTAGTCATAAGTGATGAACAAATTTATAGCCACTGGATGTGCTTAAAAGGATTTTTGGAATGCAGGATCACTTGATTGAATCCCAAGGGCTTCACAATCATGCTCAACCATTGTTCTTACTATTGATTTGATGCTACTGTTTTATTAAGAAACAGAAAGAGGACCTTCATTAGATGAAACAAAAGATACAAAGAATGGTGACAGACGAGAAATCGACCAAGCCAAGAGGATCACAAAACTTTCCTCCAATTGGCTTTAATCAAGAAAAAAAGCTACTGGTATGATACTTGCTGAAGGAGGAGGGAGGATGCAATTGCTCCCTTAGTTCTTCTTAGATTTAAAAAATTATATAAGGAAAAAAAAGTTAAGATTTTAAAATTTTCCTTTTCTCAAAGTTTTAGAATTGAAGATCATATTTATAAAATTGTTAGAAGGTAAAATTTTATCCCTCCAGTCCTTGTGAAAACTTCTGGCTCAACCCTAGCCAAAAGAGATGATTTTTTTTATATATGCAATTAAAAAGAAACCTTTTAGGTTGAGATTGATCAAAATAGAAGAAAATATTACAAAAATTATTAGATAGTGAACACCAAGAAGAAGATTTAAACCAAACAACTCCTAAAGAGACAAAATAATTCCTATAAATTCCTGAAAAAAATGCTTAATAAATCAGAAAATTCTTGCAGGGCGATTACTCGGAAAGGAACGGGGAAAATAACAATAACAACATGCAATCTTTAAAAGACGTAAATACAAAATTCGGTCAAATAGGAAAAAATAAGAATTCAGCCTGATGGACACAAATCTGAATATGGAGCACAGGATGAAGCTTAAAGGTTCAACCTTTAATGGTGCATTACTAATTTAAAATCACACAAACAACCGAAAGGATAATGGACACGTACCTCTGGCCATCAAGATTGCCCTGCCCGCTGCTGCCCCCACTCGCGTAAGAACCGTCCTCCGCCGCGGTCTGCCACACCGATTGCCAGGCCTGTGACGGCGGCTGCGCATAAACTCCGGTGGGATCCATGGCCGGTCTCCCAATCATCATCCCCCCCGGAGCTCCGGCCGGTTGGCCCATAGGCGGATAATAGTAGGGCACTCCGCTAGCAGTGGCTCCGACCATGCCTCCCAAGCCAGCCTCGTCCTTGATCTCGTCCCTAGGCACAATATCGACTAAGAAATCAAAGATATCGGTCCTCGTAATGGCGGCTGCTATATCGTTCTTCTGCAATGTCCGCCTCTTATTCTCTTCCGCGTGGAGCCATGACCTAATAGTGAGTTCAAGAATGAAAAGCTCGCATGCCTTGGCGAACAAAATGGGAGCCTCGGCGGAGATCATGCGGACGTCCTCATCGGCTTTCATAATCTTCTTAATGCGGGCCAAAGGAAGCTGGTGGTTTTTAAAATCGTTAACCTGTTCTATTTCTTGGCGCTGAAAGGACCAGAACATCTGGAGCTGCTGCTGCTGCTGCTGGAGGAGGTGGTGGAAGGGAGGGGCCGGGACGGGGGCCTGGGGAGGAGGGTAAGGGGAGGATTGGGCTTGATTGTTGCTCTCCATCGGCCGGTGACGGCGGCGATAATGGTGCGGGGATTGACCAAATGCGGCGGCGTGCGTTGATCGGAGGATGGCCGGATCGAGTGATGAGCAAATTAGAGGGAATAATTTTAGGGATGAGATATATAAATAATGTGGGAAATTTGAATTGCTGAAGATGGAATGGAAATAGGGCGAGACGGAGACACACACCAGTCCGAAAAGAGTTGAGATAAGGTAACAGTCTTCTTCAGGATTCGTTTCCTGCCTCCAGCTCTGCAATTTTTAGATTTTAGATTTTATTTTTTTTAATATTATAATAATAAATTCTTTTTTTCTTTAGTACGATAAAAAATGACTATGTTTATAGGGAGAAAGTGTGACTGTCGTATTTGGCCGAACTCAGCTTCAAAACAAATCTTAAATTTATTTTTTAAGGTTTGAAAGTCTAAGATAAGTCTTTTGTTATCTTCAAATTAGAGCTGCTTTCTTTTAAAATAATTTAAATATGGTAGTCAAATATATCGATTGATAGCTTTAAAAAATATCAATTTAGTCATTAAATTTTTGAAATTTTGATATATATTCCAGTCTCTCTCTCTCTCTCTTTTTTTTTTTTTTTTCAAAAAACAATGTTTTAAGCTAAATTATTTATATATTTCCAATCTAGTTTTTTTTTCCTATCCTTTGTAAATCGATAATCAGTAAACAAAAGCATTTTAGATTAATCAATAAATAGTAACTTTTATCTGAAAAAAAAAGTTTGAATTGAAATATATTTTTAATTAATTCCACATGCTTATTGCTCAAATTAATTATTTTTACAAATTACAAATTTTCTCTCTAGTTTCATCCATTTTTATATTTTGCAAGATTTAATTTGTGTTCGTGAATGTTGAAGCAATGACTATATATTTACAGAGGCATACTCTTTAAGATTTGAATACACAAATTACCGTTTTAGCATAACCTTAGGATTTTGAAGCACAATACCATATTATCCTTCTAAAACTCTTCTTTCCATATTCATATTTCAATTTATTAAACCTGTGGGTTAAGAACAGCTGATGTACTTCTAGAAGTTTTATTCCAAAACAATAATTTTATTTTCCTTTAAAGTTAGTCAATATATTTTGAAAAGAAAAAAAAGGTACTTCTAACATAAACAGTTTCAAAAGAACAAAAAATCTGCAGCCCCCAAAGCTGAAGAAGTTTCTGTTGGAACAAAAAAAAGGGGTCCAACAATCTCAAGCTGTCCCACTTGGCCAATAACCTAAAGTTGTTCGGCATTGCATTGCGGCAGACAAGGCCTTTTTTCTTTAACCACATGCCCACTTTTCCTTTCCTTTCGTCTCCTGTCTTTCAAATTTTCAATAGCATACAAACCAAACGCAATAAAATATCCACTACATTTAATAAATAAAACTTTTTTGGTTTTGTAATCTGCTTTCTAGATATGCAACAAACGTAACATATCTTCTAAAATTTGATTTTCTATTTTTTTTAAAAAAAAAATCAAAGAAATGAACAAGGAACAAGCATAATTTTGGGAAATAAAAAACTAAAACTAAATTATCATTGAAAAGAAAAGGTTTCAATATATCAAAATTCAGTCAAAGTGGGTACCGAGTCGTTGATTCTTTAGAAAGCAGACCACAGAAGCTTACAATATGTGCCCTCCATTTCCCTGCAGCATTAATAAAACAAGAAACCAAGAGAATAAGAATGTGCCTTCCATAAGTTAGTAGTAGGGAGAAGGAAGTGCTTCAGATATAGCCTTCTTTCAACAGATATCAGATTTGGATTCTTTCTAATGAAATCATGTAACATTATGAAATCTATTTAAATCTCGTCAAACGGATAATATATTCCTAATCATAAAAAACAAATATGAAAACCAACCATCAAAATGGAGCTGTAAACAACTTTCCATAATCAAAATATATGATTCTTTTTCTTTCCGGATCATTTGACTCTGATTCATTCTTTATTATAGACAGGCAGGCAAGCATGAAAAAGAACAAGAGATAATTTGTAAAAAAAATCAAGAACATGAATCACCCAGATATGTAATCCTAGTACCAAAACCATAGAGCAACAGCTGAGATTTGTCCAAGTAGAATTTATCATTAAATAGAGTGATTGTAGTAACTGGGAGATAATGGCTCTTGGAATGTACAAGTAAAAGTAATTACATCTCTTTGAGCAAAGAGTAAAATTAGCCTATCAATCTGGAGCTACAGTGTCTTACAGCATATCAATCCAAGGAAACTGCCTTTTCCAACACTATCCAACCTACCAGAAAATTGATATTAGTATTGAGGGCATCATAAACTAGACAAAATTGTAGCCCAAATAAATGTAGAGCGAGTAAAAAACTAGACAAAAGAAATACTTCTCCACATGTATCACCAATTCATCTCTCACGGCTGAGAAGACGAAAAAGTGAACAAAAAAAATCAAAATTACGATTAGGCTGGATTGATGCTTAGAATCTGTACTGTGTATGGTTGCAGCCATCCTCATGTCTATCGTATGTTCATCTGAGAACAATTTCTCAAACGTTGTCTAATGTGCTGATAACTCGGCACTAATTAGCAATTTGCCCCGGAACCGCTTCCGCCTATACACAATCATCTTTTGAACTGTCGTCTTCTTTCCATTATGCATTATCAAATCTTCTTCCACTTTTAGTCTATCCTGAACCTTATGACAGTTTGCTTCAATAGTTGTTGCTACATTCTCAGCAAGATCTTCTGCTTCTTTATAAGTTTTTATATCCTCACATGGATTTCCGTCCTTAGCTTGTTCAAGGTTCTGAACGACTTCTTCCAGTTCCATTTCAGTTTCCTTGGCAACTTGTAGAAGTTCCAAAGGTGTTGCTGCAGGATCAAGCTCCCAGCAACCAGCAGGAGCATTTTGACCTTCAAGACCTGTAAGCAAGCATGAAGGAACCTGGTGAGAAAATCGAAACATTTCCTCTCTCGGAATATTCCTGATCTTTGATGGATTTGGGTGCTGCTGAAACACAGTCTTGAAACCAACAACTTTAACTAATGGAATAACAGTAACGCCTCTCTCTTCATTGTAATCTTCAAGAACTTCCACCATGTCATATTTGTGAATGACATCATCCGGGGTAAGCTCGTTCCAATTAGGAGACCAGTTCCTATATAGAGCCCACACATCTCCCTTACTAGGAAAGATTCTAATGGCTCCTCTCTTGCCTTTTATCTGTTTAACCTTGTGTGAGAACGAATTAAGAAAGCCATTAACTTCATGCTTTCCGATCCAGAAATCACCACTTGTCTTAGGAAATCCACAACCAATCCAGTTCAATGGGGCTAGTTCAATGTTACTTTTAGAATTAAGCCAACTGATGCGCATTTTGAATGGTTTCAATGATATAACTTTATGAACCATGGCATAATATCGGGGCATACCGTCATCATCATCGTAAACAGCCCAAACCTGATTACTACCAAATGATTTTTCCGCACGATCCTTGTCAAAATCATGAAAATCTGGATCAGTAACGCTCATGGAAAAAGGTTCAGAATCTTTGCCATCTGGATCCCCACCAGAACTTGGAGGTAAAGGATGTTTGGTTTGCAATTCATCTGTACTACACGCAGTATCAAAATATTTACTGGAATTCATACCATTTAGAACAACTCTTTTCCCTTCTTTCTCCTCTACGAGATCCTTGCTAGAAGTCTTCATCCTTTGCAAAATGGTTGATGATGCAGCTGCTTCCCATTCACTGAGCTTCTTGCGGATCTCATTCCTAGCCTTCCCCATCAACATTTTTCGCAATTCTAGCTGGGAAAGCTCCTTTGTACTAGCAGATCCAAATTTTCCAGTGATGCTCATCCTTCTTCCTTCAAATCTATACTTTTGAGACCCACTACTCTCCTTCATAATCCCTGTGTTTTCCATTTCCGCTGGTTTCAAAAAGGCTCTGATATTACTACACTGCATTTTATGTCCAGTTATGCGTCTTTTTTTCTTTGGTCTATCTCCTTTGTGTACAGAACAGACACTGTCATTGAAGGATGTTGAGGCAAAACCAGCATCCATCTTATTGGGAGCATTATCTTCTTTCATAGCAGCCGATAAGTCATCATTCTGCCCAATTTTCATCTTTGAAGTTGCTGCCTTGAAGAAACTAAAAGCTTTAGCTGCTGAAGAGTCTGATGCTTGCATACTTTCAGTCGCTCCCAATTTAAATGATGTACCAAACTGAAAAGATTTACGCAGAGATTCAATACTACTATATCCCACTGCGTCACCTCTAGCAGAAATCTGTGTCTTCTCCCCATTTAATGACTTCTTGATATGGTTACATGCGCTGGAAGCCTGTTGCTGCATTTTGAAAGTCCATGGGGAGGCTGACGGATTCACATTGAAAGGTGGGGGTGGGTTTTCAACAGCCAAAAAGGATATGCGGCAGTTGGGACAAATAAGATTGTGATTAAGATAAGTTCTGAGATACTCAAAATGCACATTGCATGAATGACAGATTGTCCAAAACGTGGGTTTCACTGGATGAGGAGTCGGAGCGGAAAGGACTTCATCGTCACTTCTCCAATGCCATCTATTCAAATTATTATTGGGGGAAAGATTATGGAAACCGTTCCGAACAATTGGAACTGATGACCTTATTTCAGTAGACTTCATATACATACCTCTTATGTTCCGTTTTTGGTCAAATGCTGCCCTTTTCATTTTGTCAGACAACAAGCTCCAAGCTTCAGATACAATTTTAAAAGCCCCATCTGCACCTATTGATTTGTTTTTGTCAGGATGAAGAATGAGTGCTAGTTTTCTATAATGTTTCCTAATGGTTTCTTCATCAGCCAATGGATCCACGCCAAGGACCCTGTACCAATCAATGCACCCATCAATTCTTTTCTCAGCAGACAGGTAAACATTAAGAGTTGCCATAAATTGGGGAAGACCATCAAGACTAGGATACAATTTATGGGCCTTCAAAGCAAATTTACTTGCAGCGGCAATGTCCATCTCTGCGAACTTTTTCTCAGCAACCAGCTTGGCCTTAAAGGCATCATCCTTATTGCAATCCATCCCCTCTATGGAAACTCTGCTAATGACAATAACTTTACTATCCTTCTACCTTTTTGGAAGTGCAAGCACAATGATCTCAATGGGATCTGTCTCCAATGTAAATTCACCAATATTCTCGGACAGACCATCAAGAAATCACCAAAAATTAGAGCCCTACAGCAGAAAAAGAATAAATGTTTGTTAAGAAAATTACTTAAATAGACAAAAGCAGTGACACAAAATTCATGCCAAAAACGTGGAAGTTGTCAACCGGTAATAGATATGAAGCAGTAAACAATCGCACACAAGAGTTATAAATGTAAAAATACCAAGGAATGTTAAACCTAATCCATCAATTCCATTTTCTCAGGCATCACAGATCTATGACAATCAATCAGATCCAACGTGAAATGCACAGGGAGAAAACTCAAGGATAAAATAACAAACTTCAAAATAAAAACATATTTAACAGCAAAACACAGGGAAAACATAACTATCGTGGAACCTATATTCTTCATCAGAATGTACCACAAGAAGCATGCTGCAGTATTTTAGAGTTTGATCATCCACTGAACATTGAAACATGAACCCCCAAATCTTTTGAAAGGCAGCTGGTTCAATGATCACCCTGATTCTCATCTTACGAGGAAGAAACATATCATGATCTTATTAGATACATAGTTTCAATCTCATATACTTCGACGACATACTGAACAACAGAGAGAGCGTTATAGAGAACGAAATTGGGAAGGATAACAAATACCCTCTTCGAATTCGAACCGCCCCCACTTCCCGAGAAAGGAAATTATAAAATAAAATCAATCGTCTCAACTCCATCAAAGAAAAGTTGGGCAGTTCGTTACGGTAGCATAAAGTCATATATACCAATTTTCACTAACCCAGACAAAACCCTACATTGTCCATTCTATTGAAGCGCAACCTAACAACAATGGCAACGGATCATATTCCTCAAATGGCACAATGCAAGATATGGAAGGAAAGTTTATAACGTACAGCAAATCGCTTTTCTGAGACGTGACTCGCCAAAAGCCATTGAAGAATCTGGATAACAATTTTCTTGATGAAACCTCTTTGCCACCCAGCTTCAAACGAGGAAAAATAGGAAAAATAAATCCCAAATTCAGATGGTACCTAGTGAAAATATTTCCTCAGCCTGCAGAAAATTGGGTATTTGCATGGCAATTGGCACATATATAGCAGCTGAGTTTCCAAGACTTCTAAATATTTTGCAAATAAAAGTGACCTAACTATTTTTTCACATGCGGTTAAAACCCTAACTACGGTTATTTTTTCTTTAACTCTGGTTATTGGGGTTGCAACATTTCATGCTACTTGCATAAATATAGACAAATTCTGTTAAAAATTAAACTGAGTTTTTATTTTATTTCCAAATAAATGCCACCACCTTCAACAAATTTCTAATGAAATATAATGTCTAGTCGATATTGATAATTTATACGGCCAAATTGTATTTATAGTATAACCACTAGCATTTCTTGTTGTTATCGTATTAAGTTTGCTATTCGAAAATAAATAAATTACTTTAATACAGGGTCTGAATTCAATTCTTTATAACTGGATACACTATTTTTATGAAATATTCAAATTTTGAATGGCTTTGTACGTAAACAATGATCAAATTTAGCAACTTTCTTTTCCTTGCTTTTCTGTTGGTGCTCTGAGATGTGCTTTACAAGTTGAAATTTGGGTGCCAGGCCATAGTTTGAATGCAGAGCTCAGTATCTTCTGTTAACTTTTCAGAGACATTGTACAGTTCCTATGCAAGAGGATTGGGCAGCTTTGGAAATGCCAAGTTAAGGGTACAGAAAACTAGCCTTGTTAGGATTAATGCCACAGCAGGCATTCAGTGATATGGCCACATATAACAGCATATGGAAGAGATATTGTCTGTATATATGTTACATTGCCATCAAAGAGAAGACTGACTCTCACAATGAAATGTGTACATGCATCTTAAAACCGACCAAAGATTTCAAGTAAAAATAGTAATGAGGTGACTTTTTTGAATCTTCGTCTCGTCAAAATGACGGTTTCAAGCGTGGAAAAATCTCGACTTGGAAGCATTAGTTTTTACCAGCTTCATCAATTTGAAAAGGTAGTAAATCAGAAACTTGAAATGGTCTATCTTCAATTAGAGAACAAAAGAATCAAGATCTCATTCCTCATAATGGTAAATAACATCTGTTCAAGAACTCATTCCTTGTAATGGAATATAACATCTGTTATAGCTTTCATATGCTATGATATTAAACAGTTTCATAGACAATAAAATAATATCAAACAGTTGACTGTCAGGACTCAGCAATGATTCAGTAACATATCAATCCCTCGTATATAAATATATTTATGAGAAACAGAATATTTTATTGATGATATGAAACCTACAAAAGAGAGGGGAAACCCCAAGAAAGGTTACAAAAAAGTCCACCATTTCATCGAAGGGTCATTTAATCTATAAGAAGAGAAGGAAGATACAAAGCATTTGCACCAGCTAAGAGCCAAAAACAAAACTCCATCCAAAAATCAGTTGTAAGGCTGGAAATTGTCATTGAAGATTCTGTCGTTTCTTTCCTTCCAAAGATTCCACAGAAAAGCCTTGATGAGGTAATTCCAAAGAACTTCTTTGTTGTCTTTGAATGGGTGCCCTCCCATAAAATGTTAAAGCATACTACTGATGTCATTGTGCATGGGTTATTGCCAATCAAAAGAGGATAAAAGGAAGCACCAGAATCTGTTAGCAAAATCACACGAGATAAAGAGATGCCACTGTGTTTCTTCTGCCTTTCTACACACGATACAGGAGCTAGAAGAGATGGAGAAATTAGGAAGCCTTTTCTGGATAACATCATGGCTGTTTACAGCTTTTTGGGTAAGCTCCCAGCAGCAAATATCAATTTTCCTTGGATAGTTATCCCTCCAGATAATGTCGTAGAATGCAGATTCATGAAGACTGGGCCCTTTCAGAATTTCCTTAAATATGGAGCTAACTGTGAACTGCTTTGTTGGGTCAAATGGCCAAGTCCATTTGTCTGACGATGAAACAGGGGAAAAATTATGTAATAAGTGACCAAGGGTGCTCCATTCAACTATTTCCTCCTCTTGGAGCGCTCATCAGAGGTAATCCCAGTCCACGAACTTGTCGCATTGGACCAAGCTTGGCAGACCCAAATATTTTTGTTCGAGGCCAAGGCAAAAATTTTGGGAAAGGCCTTTGCTAAGGGAGAGTCCATTGCCCACAAAGCATTACAGAAGCTAATTTTGTCACCCCTCCCAATTTTACAAAGAGCTCTCTCCTTCACTAAGGTACATTTGTTTTCGGATGGCACTCCATAAGAGACAAATCTAGTATTTGTCTTCCTTCCACAAAGACAGATTGATAATCTGATATAGCATATGGCAAGGCCACTTTCAATCCTCTGATAAAACTCTTTCAAGAATTTTATAGGCGGAATCAAGCTGATGGTCTGTAGTCATGAACTGATTTTGCGTCCTTTTTCTTGGGAATAAGACATATATAGGCTTCGATGAGGCTAGCGTTTATGATCCCATTTTAAAAAGAACTTATAATATCACCATAATATCAACTTTGATGATGTTCAATGATTTTTTTGAAAAATTCTACTGTAAAACCAGATGGCCTAGGGGTTTTGCTGGCACCCGAGTTCATTACTGCTCTGTAAACTTCTACTTCAGTAAAATCTTTCTCCAATTCATGGTTGAGATCGATGGGAATTTGGTTCCAATGGAGATTTTTTGGAATAAACCTCTGATCCACTCTTTTATATAAAGCTTCTGATAGAAATCTATGAATTCAGCCCCAATGTCATTGTCTGTAAGTAAACTTTGGCCCTCTCTAGAAAGGATTACCTTTTCTTGGAGGCAAAGCACTCTGTGGTAAAATCTTGTATTTTCGTCTCCTTCTCCAAGCCATTTCACTTTGAACTTTTGGGGCTGGAAAGATTCTTCCTTGGCTGCAAGACAGAGAAGCTGTTCCCTGATTTTGAATCTTTCTTCGATAAGATTTAGAGGAAGAGGGCCCGTATCTTCCAAGGATTCCATGGCCTTTAAATCTGATGTGAGGTACAGCTTTTGTGTATAAATTCAGCCAGAGTGCTCTTTGTTCCAAGACTTGTGGCCAGATTTTAGTTGCTTGAATTTCAATCCCTCATATTTAAGTAAACCATATTCCTGAAGAGGCATTTTACTTGCTTTATGTCCCTGAACTTGAAGGCTCACTTGAGATTGCTCTTGCGTTATGGTTGTAGATATTCCTAGAAGTCACTCCTCTATGTGTGCCTTTTCTTTGCTTAATCCTCACGGCTCCTTTGGTGGCTGCCTGAAGCAAGTTTGCTTGTAATCGTGCAATTTGTTTATGCATTTTGGGTAGTGGAAGTAAATCACCTTCTGGAGGCATATTCAAATTCATCTTCAATCTCACTATGAAGACCTTTATTTGTGTTTAATTCAAACTTAAATCTTCTTCATCTTGATTTTGCAGCTTTGGAGGAAGACTCTTCTCTGTCAGAGGTATTGGTTGCGGGAACACTACAAAAATAGGATTTGAAGCAAAATAAGAACATTAGAACTATTGATAAGATTTTTACGAGTCTCATTTACATCAACCAAATCTTGAAGCAGGAGGATTCTTGTCATAAAGTTGCTAGGACGAGGCAAAATCTGTGGATGATAAGAAGCTTGAACCATCAAATGAGAACTTACCCATGATCTCGCAATGGCTTACAATGAAGATTAGCATTAGAAAACATCGATGGACCGACTGAAAACATGGATACTAATGATGCTTAGGGTTCTGAATATCGAAGAATTTTGAGTCATAAAGAGTAGCAAACTGGATCAAACAGTATCTACTTACAATGGTAAAGAAAATACTCAGACAAGGACCAAAGAATATCAGGGCACAGATAGAGATGAGTACAGTTAATTTTGTGAGCAAAATAAACAGATAATCCTGTGATCCGTGTGCACTTGGAAAAGATAACTGTATCTTGGGCTTACTGAACTTTAATTTTATGATCTAAAAACAAGTTTTGAGAAAGATGGTTCCAAGAATTTCAAGGATCCTTTACCTTATCTTTAAAGTGTTTCAAAGAGTAAGACTAAAAATAAACTGCAGTTGCAACCCAAACCTCACAAACCAATGAAGAACACGGTCGTCATCTTAAGCAATTACAGATCACTCTCCTCTACACTCTCTCGACTTCTCATCTTTCGCGCGTAAACTCTGATAGTTTGGGAACAAAGCCCTGATCGGCCGCTAGAATAACGGTGCCTATGTCATTTTAAAATTAAAAAAAAAAACGAAATTTACCATTTTAATACTTTTCCCCCTTTTTTCTTTTAGTTAAAAATTGTTGTTAAATTTTGAAAATTTTAAAGTTTTTTTTAATTAAGTTTTAAAAATCTAAATTTTTTTAAAGCTTTATATTTCGATTTTAATAAGTATTTACTATTATTTGAATTAAATTAACGAACAAACTGCATAAAAAGATTAAGCAAATTAAATAAAAAATGGGACAAACGACAGCGCTCTTTTCTTTTGTTAAAATAAACACACAATAATAATTATTATCAACAGGTCGATATGTCCGAGTGGTTAAGGAGACAGACTTGAAATCTGTTGGGCTTCGCCCGCGCAGGTTCGAACCCTGCTGTCGACGATGGTTTTGTATTTTTTTTAACAAAATTTATATTTAAACATTTCTTTATGCTTTATTGATTACAATTTACAAAGAAGGGTTAGGGTTTCCTCGTGAACGTCACAAATCTGGTTGGAATTGGGATTTTAGGAGCGAAGTTTCTTTCCCTTGATCCAAGCGGATTTCGAACGCTCTCTTTCTGAATTGAGGGGAATCTCGATTTCAGTAGCAGCAGAAGCATCTTTCTTTCGAAACACGCGATGGAAGATAAACCCACTAGTATTTTGGCACTTCCCCAGACTACACAAGAGCTTGCAATTGAGGGCATCAAGCATCTAGAGGAAACGATAGAATCCGCTTTCCAGATCCTCTACTCCATGAATGATGAGCTCTGCAATCCCACGTTATGGTCCACCACTTCTTCAACGGCTACTTCTGCTTTATCAATTGCAAGCCCAAATGGTCCATCTCCGCATTCCACAAATGGAGTTGTAAACGGCGACGCGAGTTCTGAAAGCACTAACCATCACGCTGACACCAGCAGTGGCGGAGGCACCGGTAGTGGGGGAGCCCTTGAGGAGGCCCGTGTTCGCTACAATAATTCAGTTCTTGCACTTCGTGCTATTCTTGCTGCAATTCCCAGCTCTCAGAATGTAAATTATCAGACTGATCTTTCAACTCTCCGTCTAAGTTCATTGGCCAATGTTTCTCATTTTTCATTTGGTTGTTATTTGGAAAACTCGAGACCGATTCAGAGATATTGAGTTTCCCCACAGTACAAAATGCTTTGCTGAGAACACATGAACTTTTCATATTCAATTTCAGACGAATGCATAAATTTTTTTTTATGTTAATAAGTATTTCTTGCTACAATTTGCACATACTACTCTCGAGCTGGTATTCATTTTCATAACTGCCGATTGATACGTGGACCAACTCCATGTACTACGAATTTGATATATTGCTCACTGGATTGACTTGGTGTTCACCACTGCTGATTAAGCGATTTTAAGCAGTCTCTCGTGTTTTTTTGATAGGCAAAAGCATATGAATCGGGTACGAGTGGTCATGCATCCCCAGCAGACCAATCTGAAATTGATAAGTTGGAACAACACCTCTGTAATCTTAGAAAGGTATTTCATTCTGTCTTCCGCTTGTAAATTCTAGTCAATAGTTTATTTTTTCTTAAGGCTTTCAGGATGTGTCCGAATACTTCCTTTCACTGAATTGCACCAGTTAAAATTTTTAGGCTAAGATTTCGTGAAGGAACTAATACTTCTGGAAATTATTTACTTTTTGGAAACTTTGTAGTCTACTTTCTACTTTCAACGCATGATGCATAGCTATTTATCGATGTATCTGTAATAAGATTTTCTGAAGTGTCTACAAATATTGATGAAACTGTGAAAATTTTAAAGATTTGAGAAACAAGAGTTCTTTTTGTGTTGTTGTATCACCGTCTTAATTTAAACAAAGATTTTGAAACTAAATAGACAATATTGAAAATCAAATATTAAAACTAACGATATTTTGTAGATAATATACTTCTTCATTCGTCTCATTTTTATTCTTTGGTAAGGTCCTCGAGCGATATTTTATTCTTCCTTCAACTGCTTTCTTATAAGGATCCGTGTATCTGTGGTCTCTTTGCAGGAACTTGTCAATAAGAACTTGCATCTCAAGCTTCTGATAGATCAACTACGAGATCTTGTTGCTGATATATCTACATGGCAAAGTCCTTGTTCAGTTTGAAGTTTGAACATACATGATTTAACCTTGAGTCTCCTGACTAATCGAGCTAGATTGTGATGCTCTGTTTCTTGAAAAGATGAGCTGTTATTAGAACGTGTCTTTATATCTCTCCAATGAAACTGGGAACTGTACCTTTGCCATTTTCACAAAATTGTTAATATAGAGTTGGTCTCTGATAATGAAGCACCAGGAATAAAAGGTCTGATCTTTTTTATTTAGGTGCTACAGTATTGGAGTTGAAAATGAACAATCCTGTGTAGAAATTCAAATGGACAGCTTGAAGCACAAGAATCCATATTTAAGAAAATCAGTTACTATTTCAATGAAAGCACTACTGATTGCCTGAGTTTTTCTTAGAAGTGATCTACAAAAACCTTTTAGACACGAAACATTTGAATGCACACAAAATCACCATATAGCTTAAGCTTATGAGATATAGTTACACTTACACTTGCTCTCATCTCTAAAATGTAGCTAGTAAGGAATAAGAATCTATGTTGCTGTGTAGGTTTTATACCAAAAGAAGAATAAATTTAGTTGTGCATTGAGGATCTTGTAGTAAGGGAAGATCTCATGTCCACAATGGCAGATTCATCTGCACCCAACTTGATGGCCTCTTTGCTTGCTCTGATGAACCTGGCAACAGCCCCTCTAGTGTAGTCATGTGCTTCTTTAACGCTCATCTTCTTGCTTATTTCATTTGGGAATGTACTCAGGAAATGGTCACCATTCAGCACAGCAGCCAACTGAACCACCTCACTCTGAAACTCAGATAGTCCACTGTTTTCATTTGCCTCTGTTTTCCTCAGCGGTGTCACGTCTGGCAAGGTTACTGCAATACATGGTTGAGAAATCAACAAAGTATGATTTCAGGAAGCTTATAACTCAACTGAAGATTAAGTCTATTGACAGTAAATGATCTAGGAAAATGTTGATGTGTTACACTCGGGGCAGGTTGATACCTGGGCAATCGGTTCTTGGCGAGGTTAATTGCCCTACAATATGCTCAAATGTCCCAGCCCATGCATCTCTGTGAGTCAGGAAGTTGGAGGAGAGGTTGAATATTTTCTTTATGGTAGCAGGGATTGAGGAATGCTCAAACTCGGAGTTTGGCGTAGGTCCATTGGGACTGCTTATTACTGCAAAATGAACAGAGGTTTAGAGCAATAAACACACCCCATAAGAAGAAACAGTCAAACGATCAACTCTGGATTTGACTTGGAACAATTGTCGCCGTATTCTTATGTGCGTGCTAAATTCGTTCTAAGATGCAGGTAGATACAAAACACTCAAAATCAAGCATCAATCTATGGAGGGGAAATTAAATAAGAGTAGGACCCCACTGCTTTTAAACGCCGAGAGACATGGAAGTGAAGATGATGCTAATCAAGTTCCTATTCCTATATCTTCATCCCCACTTCCAACTGGAGTGGATCCCAAATCCAACCAACTCCTCGACCAAATGGAGCCACCGGTGGCTTCCCAAATGGCCAGCCTGGGATCTGCGTGCAGTAAACCATGCAAGGAGTAAAAGCACCGGCCATGTAAAAATTAGGCCATTTGTGAGAATGTTGCCAAGTTTGAGAGATGTTCTAAGAGTAAGTGGTGAGAAGTAGAAGAACTTGGCTTACCAGTCCCTTTCTTAATCCAGGGCGAGACCATAATCGTAGGCACGCGGACGCCGAGCCGATCGAACTTGAAGAAATAGGGAGCAGGGCCTGTGTTTCCATCAGGATTAGGGACATTGACAAAAGGAGTCTTGACATGGTCAAAGAATCCACCGTGCTCATCGTAAGTGATTATGAGAAGGGTCTCATTCCATTGTGGGCTAGCCCTCAGAGTCTCGTAAACCTCTTTCACCAGTTTTTGGCCATTTGCGACATCATGGGATGGATGATCATCATTTGCAGGAAACCCCACTAGATCGAAATACCGCGGCTCAATCACACTTAAACTGGGGAGCTTCCCATTTCTAGCATCCTTCTTGAACTTCAAATCGTACTGATGGAACTTGAAAATGTACTTCAATTTCCTCAAGTTTCTGTAAAACAGGGTAGTGGGTATGTTCTGGAAGTAAATCCCAAAGTCGTGACCATTCTCGTGAAGTGAATCAAATATGGTTTTCTGGGGATAACCGAGAGCTAATTGCTTCTTCACATGGCTTGTTGAGCCATGAGAGGTTGCAGAATAAACAAAGAGCCTGTTGGGTTGAGTTGGGCCAGGAATTGAAGAGAACCACCTATCAAATACAGCGAATTCGCGAACCAGAGCTCCATAAATGGGCACAGCTTCTGGTTTGAAGCCTTTCATGACAGTTTCTGAGAGATTTGGGGACATTGAAAGCGCCTGTTCCACAAAGCCAGACATGGAGGGAATGGAATTAGAGCCAAATACCTGCTGCAACACGTCTTCAAAGGAGTGGCCCGGATCTGGATCTACGAACTCGGCATCATCGGAGAAGCAAATGGTTCCCGGGTTCGAGTTATTGGTTGAAACCGGGTTGCATTCGTCTCCAGTGACGCCATTGATTTGGGGGTTGATGGATTTCTTCATCCATCCAATCATGTGATCGAAGGAACGATTCTCCATCACCAAAACCACGACGGTTTTGATTGGTTGCTGGCAAATCCGTTGGGGAACCCATGAGAGAGTGAGGAAAAACAAGAACAAGAAAATGAATGGCAAATGAAATGGCGGTTTGTTTCTCCGTCCTCTCATTGTCGCTGCGGAGAGAGCAGAGGCCTAATCTCTTAACGAACCAGAAATCGCAGGCAACGAAGATAGAACCAGAAGATAACCCTCCACAAAGCCACCCTGAGAGTGAGAATCCAAAAGAACACTTAAAAATGGAGAAATTGGGCTGTGGATGAGAATGTTGCAGACAAATGCCACTGATTCTCTCAGTGGGACTTTAAATAAACAAAATCTTCTGGTCATGAGAGAGAGAGAGAGAGAGTAGCTTAGAGTGGTGAGTGGGGTTTTGTTTTATACGCAGAAGTTTGAAGTAAAGAATCAATTAATAAAAAAGGTAAAGCGAAAAAATTGAAAATGTGTCTCAGCCATTGTTTATGTTAAATTGTTACTGATTCAGTGATTCTATCCTTCTCTATCGCATTAGCAGTTACAGTTTTTATGGGGATTAATTGTTCGTTACCAAATGAATCTCCAAGTACGTCATCATAAACATCATATGGTCAACGTTCAGTGAAGCTTTTAACTTGTACGAGATATTATTTTATTTGAATATGACAAATGTGGAGATGAAAATTTGATCTTGCATTTTTTAGCTCTTACATTTTAGACCAGAAATTAATATTTATACTCATATTAGTAATATTTATGAGAGATTTTGGTGTTTTAATGAGTTGAATTATGTCCAATTTTTTTTTCTGTCATTATTTATTGATTCTACACCGGTTTGCATGGGATATTTATGTGGTGTTTGAAATAAAACAGTGTGAGTGGAGATCAGTCAAGGTGTTCACGGACTGTGTTTGGATTGAAATTTGGAAGCAATAATCTGCGGCTGTACATTTGTGGGATTTTTAATTTGACAAAATTCTGGCTGTCGAAGTGTTTGAAAATTTAGCAATTATTGTTGATAGCAAATACTTAATCAAACTCGTTTTTTTAACTTCTTCCAATATTTTTCAATGTTGAAAATTTGTCAAGTAATTTAATCCAAATAATCACTCAAATTAGTCTTACATAGTAAATTGTGATTATAAGAGTAGCGCAATGTTAAATGACGTCTACTTCTTCAGAGGTAGAATATTTAAATTTGTAGATTTGATATTCACTAACGCTTTGAACTATATCATGATTTTTTTTTAATATAATAAAGGTAGGGTAGATAATTAACCAATTAAGTTTATTCTATCAATCTTATTTGAATTTCTTGAAATTGTATAAATTCAATTGCTTTTCCTAAAAATCGGTATCTCTGAACTAAATCAATTTAATCTTGAAATACCTGTAGCTTAAAATATCTCTAAATCAGGGAGGAAAGGGGAATCAAAAGCTAAATGAGTGGAGATTTAACTTTGTGTCTTTTTCCTGCTTTTTCATTTCACATCGTTATTCTTCCCACTCACACTCCCAACTTGACTAACTTTTGTTTTAGGTTAACTTTTTTCCATTAGCCTTCTTTTTATTTCAGCAAATCACAACAATAAATTCCACTTTCTCACTTGTGCCCATCACTCTCAAACCAAAGCTCCCCTCCCTTCCATTATGTATCACACACACTCCACTGCCAAAAATGAAGTGGTGGTTTTATTGGACATCTTAGGATTCGTTCATTTACAAGATCTACCAATGCCAAAATACCCATCTACGAATTCTGTTTGTTAAGCTTCAGCTGTTTTGGCTCTCTTTTTGGTCTTCGCTAATGTATAGGATACTCAAAACTACCAAACAAATGTTGGTGTTTTTTTTTTTTTTTTTGGCCTTAATTTTACATTACATAAATCAGAAGCCGTAGTAATTGGCTGAACTTGGGGGCAAAATTTGTCGTATTTTTCTTTAAAAAAGTCAAGTGTGCTACGCATGTGAACCATATCATGCCGCAGGCTGTGGTGCTTAGCTTAGGCTTTGCTTTTGGATTTGCCAAACCACAAACGTGTGAACAGAAGACTCCGTGACACCTCTCCCAGCTGACACAACTTTCACCTAAAAACCCATCTCTTGAAGTAATCTAAAAAAAGTGCAACTATTTTAGAAGTTATAGAATAATCTGTGGTTCAAATACTTTCTCAGTAATACTTCTTGAAAAATCCATTACTTTTTTCTGAAAACTATGAAGGCAAATACCAAAAGTTGTGTTTTAAGGGGAAAAAATTAGCTTCGACATTATTTATCATCAGGACCGACACTCCCCTCGTGACAGTTATTTTTAACAAGTACAAACAGTAGTTTTTATAAAATTTATGACAATACCTTACTGACCCTTGACCCACACTTGGTTAGAGTTAGCGACGAATTGGTAAAATTTTTCTTATCCAAGACAATAAACATATAATCAAATGGAGGGCCCTTCACTTCAAGCACCGACTAAAGTACGATGTTCTTCAGCCACATCGACCATCATCTTTTTTCCTTTTTTTCTTTTTTCCTTTGTTTTGCCTACTACACCGACCCCATAGAGAAAATCAAGCAAGCAGTTGAGACTTTAGAATTATGAATGGTATGTAGAAAGTTGATTCATAAACTCAAGATTCTCCACGAATTCATGGAGCTGCAGAACCTTCAGAAACAGTAACACGTATCATCAATCCTCGCGGGAGTAAATTAAAGCATTTACTTTCATGCAGACAATCAACAATCCCAAATTTCAACAACTTTTCTTCATCAATATGATTTTTCAACGAAAATAGATTATAAGCACAAGTACTGATGCTGTTCCAACCAATCCCATCCCCCCAATCAGGGCCCCAAATTTAGGAGGCTACTCGGACCAAAATCATTGAATAGAATGTGTATGAATTTTATTGATTAATTACCAGATCTTCTCAAGTATGCTAACACGCCTAACCCGGCTACAAGCGCGGCTCCAGCTGCAACTGCACTGTATGCCGATGCCCATGCGTCTTTTTGAGCATAATCCATAGTTTCGGCGCCAGAACCCCTTTTACGACCACGAATTCCTGGATATTCTAAATGCAATCTCAGACCCTGCACAAAACCAATACGTCAATTCTCGAGTTCAACCATTTCTTTTTGAGGGTTAAATTGTCGATCACAAATAATAATCAAATACGGTACCTTCCATCCAGCCAACCTTGCGTGTTCTACAGCTGCTGTAAGATCACTGTCTGATGCTAGAACAACTTTATCGCGGTCTTCATCTTCATACTACAAAATTTGGTCATCAATTAGTTCTGCAATTTATGGTCAAGAAACTAGAAATTATCAAGCCAAATAAAGAATATTGATCCGGGTGCGTACCAAAATGTGAGGCAATTTGTTGCGGTCGATATCATCGCCAACTCTCTGAAGGATGGCTGTTATAACATCTGTTAAACTCCGAGTATCTTCGCTCGGATAGAACAACAAAGAAACCAGTCAGACCAACTTAAATGCATGTCAAAGTCGAAATTAACTACGAACATGAAAAGGCTCATTAGAAAGATACGAAAGAACAAAACAAGGTTGTTCGCAGCCGTTATAGCTGCAGCGAAAATATTCAGCCACCCACCAAGGTCTTGCCAATCAAAATTGGCTATTACTAAAAGCAATAGCAAATAATGTAACTTTAATTGAACATTTGGGAGTAATTATTGGAATGAATGATCAAATGCCTCAAAAGAGACATGAAAACTCATCTATAACTTGCACAACAGCTCTCCTGATATTGGATTAACGATAAAAGTAGAACAATACCACAAGAAAATCGATGCATCCTGCCCTTCCTGTCTTCGAGTTTAAAAGAGAAAGTACTTTGCAGTCCAGATGATGGAAAGGGGAGAGATCTTCCAATTTCCGTTTCCTCAGAAGCCAATTTCAATGAACCTTCACTGAGATGTCACGCTAGCTTGTGAGATAAATACATAGCTGAACTGCAAAAATAGAAATGCATAATAATTTTGAGAAGCACAACCTACGCAGTTCATCATCATCCTCATTTGGCGATAAGGCCATGGCAGAATCCCAAAACTTCTGCATCATAGAACTCGCAGCCTCATTGCTGACTCCAGATGCATTTCCAACCTAACCATGAAGCAACGCCAAGACCAAATAAATCTTCACAATAATAGATCATAATATAGCTCCAAGAAATTTTAATACGTCCTTCAAAGGATGGCCAATATTCTATATTAATTTAAATTTTTTCTTCTCCTTGTCGAGGCTCATAGGTTTGACCAAATAAATGAGAACAATTGTTTTGTTTGTTATCCCTAAAAATCCCCACCCCATCAATGTTCACAAGGTTTGAAACTGAGATTACTGTCAAGTCTACAACATTCAATAGTTATAGAACTCGTAGGATTTTCAAAAATCCCCCAAGTAGTAGCCTGACAGGTTAACCCCTGACTACTTAGTTAAATCCTAGAGCCTATACCACATTTACCACTATGACCAATCCTTGAGGTTATAAGTCAGAAAAATCAGAGAAGTGGAAAATGTGGCCCCTCACAGTCACACTTCAAGGATTTCAATCTGGAAGAGGAGAATACAAGTTACTTGCTAGAGCTTGTGCAGATCACAAGAAATTAGGGGGAATCTCATGCTTTTGATTGAAAAAGCTTAAACGCGGAGACGACCACAACAAACACTAATGGGGTAACAAAAATAATATATCAAAATACCAAAGAACGGGGAATCAAAGGTGCAGAGCTGCATTCAGTTTCTGCATATACGAGAGCAATTCTTACTGCTAAATAATATAGAAAATTGCTAGATTAAGAACATCAAAATGAAATTGTCTCCACACCAACTTAACCACTAAAACTATATTGTTCAATTGTAGATCATCATTTTTCCCTCCCAAAAATGGCAACACCATTAATTTCAAATTCCTAATCTTATTATGGAATACATGATTAAGAATCTGGACATTACACTTCCAGTAGAATGTTGATAACCATTTGAAAGTGCTATAGCTCGAACACAGTATATCTTATATATCATCGTGTTCTTATGGTTATTTTTTCAATGTCAAGAAGTAAGAAGTCGACAGTACTAAAAACATATAAGATTCCAAAAATTAATGGACTCACTGTGGCAACGGCAGCATGGGTGATATGTATTACATCAACTACAGCGACAACACTTCCATCTGCAACCAATTATTATCCATCAATATCAGAAGTTAAGATGACAGACTTACATTCACAGATGATAACCTTTTTTTGTTCATAGGATTTCCTATTACACAACGTTACCTCTATCTACCACTGGAAGGTGCAAGAATTTTCCATCATGCATAGTGTGCAGCGCATCAACTATTGGTGTATCAATTGTTGCGCATTCAGGATTTGGAGTCATGACCTTTTAACATGAAACGAGGGCTGATATTCAGTACTGAAGAATACTAATCTTACATACTCAAAGAGATTAAAACAAACTTTACAAGATACAGAGTACTGTTTCTCTTATATCCATCTTTCTTGCAATTTTGGCTGAATTTATCTGTGTCCCCAGTCCCAATCCAAACAAGCACCCCTACACAGCTAACCAACAGGAAGGAAGGGGGAGATACACCATACTTCATAGTCCATGCAAGCTGAAAGAAATTACCTTCTCTACAAGTGTGGATTCTGGTGGAAGATTTTGTGCTATTAATCGCATCAAGATATCCTTTGACCTGGAAAAGATAAAATATCAGGATGCATGAAATTGTATGCAAGTATAAAATCCTAAGTTTAGAAGAATGATCATGGTACTCACGTGAGAATTCCTTGTGGCTTATTATCAACTGTCACAACTGCAGAACTCGCTCGAAGCTCAAGCATCTTTTTCGTAGCCATAAAAACTGTTTCTGTTGGTGGAACTGTAACAATCCTGGAAGATTGAACATCAATAAAAAAATGCAATGTTGATGAAATTAAAAACTAAATATCTTTCACGCAAGAAAAGTATTACCTACTTTAAATTCTCTGGGATAATAGTAGACAGAGATGGTCTGAACATACGCTCTCGAAGTGTCTCAATAAATGTGTTGGGACCTGTCCATCAGCAATACCACAACTTAGAGTTGTTTTTTGGAAGATATTAAATATCATTTGGGATGACAGTCCAGAGTCCACTGACCAGAAACAGTGGTTCCCCAACTTTTTTCAACACCTTCAACTGCGGCTGCGATGGCCTTTCCCTTTTCAGCTGCCCTTTCCATTCGAGCAATAGCATCATATAAACATTTTGCAATATCAAGTAATGCAATGACCTCCCCATTCTCAACTACAGGTAAGTGTCTAAATTTTCCTGTAGACAGAGATACTCAGACCCGTATATCAAGAATCACTACTAAACAGAATGGTAGATCAACACATGGATGTGCTTCTCAGAACCCTACAAACCTTGAACCATCTTTTGGAGGGCTTCCACTGCTAGAGTGTCAGAAAGAACAAAAACTGGATTCCTCGTCATAACTTTAGACACAGGTGTTTCTTCAAGATTAACTCCAGAAGCAATAACCCTTGTTGCTATATCCTTCCATCAAAAGGAATAATGAATATATCAGAAAGAGTTTTTTGAAAAGTGGCACACGGACATTTACCCTTAAGGCTAAAGGAAAGCCGATGTTAAACCTTGTCTGTGAGGATACCGCAAAGTAAAGCGTTTGAATCAGTTAGTAACAAAGCATCAACTCTACGAGCAACCATTCGACGACAAGCCTCGGAGATGGTAGTACTTTCAGGAACTGTTAGTGCTCTTGACAGCCGCAGTCGTTTTACTGTACGCTCACCAGTGAGTTGTCTTTTACAAATGCAAATGGAGAAGGGAAAACAATGTTAATATATCTTGACTACAAAAGATCAATTTAGTTACTGCATCCAACATGTATCCTATAAATTGTTACATGATCCACGGAAAGTATAGTATAGTACTCCCATTCAAGTACATTATCTAATCCCTTACAAGGTTTCACGATAAAATTATAAACAAAAATACACAATATATACATGATACAACCACATGATATAGCAGAGTACTCCCATTAAAGTAAATTTACTAATCCTTGAAAAGATTAAGCGATGAAATATCAATACTTGAGTTTCTTGTATGATTTTCAATTTTTATTTTGCCTTGACAGATTCTTGATGACATAAAGTACTAAAATTCGCAATTTTACACAGCAAAAAATATGGGAAGGGGTTGTTATGATATGAAGGTTCCTGCAAATATTTGAAGAGTCTTAAAATGATCGTCTGAGTGAAAAAACGCAACTACATACAATTTTCATCTTTCAACTATGAAACTTACGAAGAAAAATCCAAAGCGTGCAATAGAACCCGAATGAATAACATGTCAATTAGGATTAATGCATAGGCATAACAAAATAAAGATAAATAAGAACATCACTAAAATAGGATTTGGATTAGCGATTTACAATGAACGGGAGGCTGAAAGAGACTTCCGCACATCCGAGCTTCCATTATCATTGATTTTCTTCTTGGTCTGAGATGATATGTTCGTTAAGGACATACTTCTTCTAGAAGAACCACCTTGACTAGTCATTTCTTGCCGATGGTTTGACCAATCGCCGATAAGACCTTAAAAGCGTTGCAGCGGAAGCTCGTTCAATCTCACGTACAAAATTAAATATGGGAGAAAATCATAGATGCTCATAGCCGATAAATAATAATAAGCAATAAAGAATCAAATTATAACGAACAACTCTTAGTTTTGAGGCACATAATCGAAATAACAGAATAAAACGAAACTCTAAAAACCTGAAATATAACGCTTCTTCTTCAACGTCGAGTCTCCTTTTTCTTTTTCCTCTTTTCTTTCCTTTCTGCAAAATCCTGAACGTCGATTCTCAATATAGATTATTCAAAACTTTATGAGTTAAACCCCAATCGTGCCTGCAAATAAATCGGGAGCTCGTGGCCACGAGAAGCACGAAAACTGAATAGAGAAAGGAGGTCAACGGCGAAAATCGATCGATGAACTTGTGAAATTCAAAGAAAAAAAGAGCAGTAACGGTCGGTAATCTTATCGGAAAGTTAAAAATTATCCGGGAGAAACTACCGACCGTCGAACGAACAAGAAAGAGATAGAGAAACGGAGAGAAAAGGGAAGGAGAAAACCTAAGAAATGGGAGGAATGGGAATTTTTTATGAGGATGGAGAGGGTACACCAATCCGAATCCCCCACGTCGACGAAACTAACTGTAATGGCTCAGCTTCAAAATTAACAGGTAAAATTTGCGAGGTTTGGCGCTAAATAAAGAAATTGATTTTTCCTCGACTTACGATTTTCCCTCTCTTTGCTGGGGTTTTCTTGTGCCAACTAAATTGTCTTCAAATAAAATAAAACCTTACAAGTTACGATATATAACTTAGTTTGTTCTTTTACGTAGTATTAATTTGATCTCTATATTAAATTTCATGAATCGTCATTTTTTATTCATGATAAAATTTATTAATTTTATCTTATTTTTTACTAAGCCATAATATTACCACAATTTAAGTTGTTATTAGTGAAATTTTTATCTAAATATAAATTGAAAATTGAAAACTAAAACCACGAGAAGGAATCTAAAATTAAGCCAAAGCCATAAGGATGGTTAAGTTTGTCAAAATCTTATTATATTGTCACGATTTATTTTCTGAAAGTGTTGTAATTAATTTTTTAAAAACATATTTAATACCAAAAGATGTCCATTTACTTTTGAATTTTCTTTTCCAGTTTTATTTAAAAGATTAAAAATACTCCTTTTCGTTGCCCAACTTTGAATGTGGAACGATGAATTTTGCAGCCATGAGGTGAGAATTATAAATTACAGAGAAAAGAGGTGTGGTGTGGGGGGATCGAGTAAAGTTGGTTCCGATTCCTATCTCGATGCTCTGTTATGTCATATGTGCGATCGTTAAAGACAGCCTCGACCGGAAGTATAGCATACAAAATCCATTTCCACGCCTTTTTTAATTGGATAAAAGCATTTTTTTTTATTTGTACATTGGTGTCTATGGTAAGTTTATGCTTGTTTTTCATTTTCAATTTTGTTAAGATATCTAAATATTTTTTTTTATACAATATATAGGATAGAGTCGGATTCGTGACCACACTCAGTTTGAGATATATGTCAATTACTATCACATTGACGAAATCTAAACATATTTATATTTATTATCTGTCCTTTTTTATAAATATTATCAAAATTCTATAAAAATATTGGAAATAATAAAAACAAGTTCATTGTCTGTTGTTTCCGTTTCTAATTTGTACCAACATAAATAAGTATCTTGTTTCATCATTCTTAAATCTATGAGTCTTGAGTCCTGCAATTCTACTTTTTTATTATAACAAATAAACATGGACGTTATCAAACGGACCCTTAACGATCCATTTTCTACTTCTTATTTCTCGTTTTTTTTAGAAATATTCTCAACATTGTATAGAAATTATGGAAACAATGAAAATAATTTTTTTTTTGTTATCGATCTCAATTTTTTCCAATATAAATAAATATCTTATTTCACGATTTTTTAATCTATGGGTATTAGGAGCCATGTAATTTTATTTTTCATTAGAAAAATAAAAAAAACATTGACGTTACCAAAAATGGCTTAATGATTCTGTTTATTTTTTTATCGTTTTAAATTTTAGTAAGAAATCTAAGTATACCTATGTTTCTTGTTTCCATTTTTTAGAAAATTTTTATATAAATTTTGAAGAAAAGAAACAAGTTTCTTGTTTTCGTTTCCAATTTATTTCAACCCAAATAAATATATTGTTTCATCGTTTTTTAATCTTTGAGTGTTGAGAACCATACAACAATATTTTTTTATTTAAAAAGAATAAACCTAAATAGCAACATTACCAAACGAGTGCCTCCCTTCGAATTTTAAATCGTCCTTGTTTAGCTTCATTTTTTTTATCATTAGTTATCAAATTAAAATGTTTTGATTTTCAGATTTCTTTGAACATTCCACCAGTTTTTTAAGTCAAACCTCCAATTTAGAGGTAGAACTTGGAAGGCTACCCTTTTGATTTGTTCCTTTTTAACTTAAAAGGTACCCATTTTATTAACTAAAAATAAAATAAAAAAATATTAATTCATATGAAGATGTGATAGATTGCATCATTTTTTCAGATATAGAAATAAATATGTCAATTATTTTAGTTGGCTCACTTTGTTACAAAGTCTTCATCTTTGAACTCATAAATTAATTTTTTTTTTCTTTTCTTTTTGGAACATTGCATTATAGACTTAATAAAAATATCAACCTACATCTCATTCATATAAATATTTAGCTACTCAAGTTATACTCCGCCATTGTAATTTTTAAATTTCTATGTTATACTTAAAAGCATCTCGGTAAATGATAGACAATATTTTTTTAAGAAAATTAATAATATCAAAATATAAATTTTAAGATAAATTTGTAGTTTTAGTTAATACGGTTTACCTCAATTTTAGTAGTTGTTGAGCGTCACACCAACCTATCGAAAAAAGAGATCATTAAACCTATTCAACAACTTAAATATGACTCGATAATTAAAGTATATCTACGTCTAAAGTTGTAAATTTGAATGGTTAATCTTATATTTTGTAGTGTAGTGTTCCAAAGAAAAAACAACTCCATATTTATAGTTTTAAAAGCTAAATATTGTCCTTACATATTGAATAAAGCTTACTAAAACATTTACATGTTATTAAATATTAGTCGAACCGCTCGAGTCAAATCATTAAGGCCAGACTATCCAACCAGATCATATATGAGCCGACCCAAATTCGTTCGAACTGGTTTACCTAAACCAACCAAAAACTCTCTCAAATAAGAGAAACAACGTAGAGTGCGAGATACACTCTCACTAGTGGCAGATCCATRATATAATGTTGAGAGACAAAAATTCATATACACGTAATGGAAAATATCAAATTTAACTCTGTTAACGTGTATCTCGATGATTACCCTAACTTTCAGTTTCATCAAATTGCACCTTAAATTTGTAGAAGTGTATTACAATTTTCACCTTAAACTTCAAAAGAGTATTACGATTTTTACCACACGAGAGATTCTCATTATTAAATGGTTGAACAAATATCATCACTCTCACAATTTTTTTATTTATTAAGTAAATTTAATTCACATATAGATATCTCTAATATTTTGAAAACATCGAACTCATTGTTGTAATTATAAATAAATTGTTGCGTTTGATTTATGTCATTCCACCCCCCACACTGAACTTTAATCAAAGCATAAAATAGAAAGAGAATATATATATATATATATATATAAAAGAAAGTAGTTAAAATTTGTCGAAAGAAAAAAAGGGTTAAAACAACGAGATAGAGGTATGGATTTGAAACTAAGATTAAAACACACAATTTAACATAGTTTCAATAATGTCTTAACATGAATATATATAAATTAATATTTAATTAACTTCATAAAAAACGATGACAGGAAAACAAATATTGAATATTAAATGAAAATTTTAAAACTGATTTAATTTATTGTTACCTTTTTAATACCACACAAGTGATGGATTTCTGTTGATATCTTCATTTCTTTCGAATTGAGGTGCAGATTTTGGACCAAAAGATTTGCATGGCTATAGAAGAAGAATACATCTACAACACACGATTTGACAAACCAGGTGTAAAATATGCATTCCTTAAAAGGCCGAATCACACCATTTAATTTAATATATACTTAGCATCAAAGTGTCTTTTTCTCTTCCTCTATGCGTGAAAGCTGTAAGCCGTTGATCGTTTGGCCTATGCCAACGAGGGATGCAGATTGCAGCTTTCTCTCCCAAGAAAATCTCAGCCGTGGAATTTATGATTTTATTAAAAACAAAAACCCATATTTTTATCTTAACAAATTAAATAATAAAAAATAAAAAAGCGGAAAAAATGGCACATCTTGATCCGTCCACGTGAAGCATCAAAACAGAGGCAGTTGTCGCATCAGTGTCCCGTTTAGAAGTTTGAGACCCCCACCGGCCATTGCTTCTCTTCGCAAACCTTCCACTTCCATCTTTCTTTAATTCTTTCTCTGTGTGTTTGTTTGGATTTTGCAGGCTTCGGCATCGGCATGGCAGATTGGGGGCCGGTTGTGATAGCGGTGGTGCTGTTCGTGCTGCTCACCCCAGGGCTGCTGTTTCAGATCCCAGGCAGAGGCAAGGTGGTGGAGTTCGGGAGCATGCATACCAGCGGAGCTGCCATTTTAGTCCACGCCGTCATCTTCTTCGGCCTCATCACCATCTTCCTCATCGCCATCGGCGTTCACATCTACACCGGCTAAACCAGATCCCGCTTCCTCGTTTTCTCTCTTCTTCATTAATTTTCAGTCGCTATTACCCTGTTCCTATTGCTCTGTCTGTCTGTCTGTATGTCTACTTTTTTTCCTTCTAATTTTTGGGGGTTTATATTGAATGGACTGAATTTGTTGTTATGTTATACAGATACTTGTATTAAACGGTATGGTAAATAGACTACTGGTTTTTTCCCTCGTTGGAATTACTGTTGCATTATTGAAGTTAAAACGATTCCGATTAGTAAACTCTGCTTTATTTGCTGTTGGGTAATTGGTAATTAGAGGAAGAATAAGGAGGAAAAGATTCCGATTCGAATCAAATGCGAAGTCGCAGTGACCTAACAGAGTGAAGTATGATTTGAAGAAAAAGCAGGAGATCGATAGACGATTCCCATGGGTTTCATTATTCTATATCCATTGTCACGTGCTTTTCTATTGCCTTCGTTTCGCTCTTGAACCTTCATCTGTCGCTCGGCCACCGCTTCTGGTCGGAGATAAGTTCCGTCGGTGCGCTGAATTAGATTTGGGCCCCATATCTGTGCCTGCCGCCTTGCCCTAATTTCAGGTCTTTTTTCTTTTTTGGGCATAACTCATCCATCGCATCAAACCAACCTTTTCCATCATAGGTTTTCATTATATGTTTCTATCCCCCCCTCTATTTTTTAAGAAATAATCGGTATTTTGACGATGGCTTCGTCTCTCTCTCTATATATATAGATATAGAGTTTGAGGTAGTGGAAGAAAATGAATATGAATGAGCAAATTGTTTGATCTGATGCCAGTTATATAAAATGAAAATCTTTATCTAAGATCAAACGTGTCTAAAAGTTAATGCTTCCATTTCATCTTCACTCAACTTGTGAATTTAAAAAGAAAAAAAAAATAATAGGAAGATCATTTAGTGCACTTGAAGATGTTTAAAATTAATGTGTAATTATTTTTAAATTTTTACACAGTCATCAATTATTATTTTTTTACTCGAACTCACAATTTAACTTTTTACGATCGGATCGAACTCATGTCCATTACTATGTTCACTTTTGGATCAATCTATCAATTATTGACAAACTTAGTGACAAAGTTGAATAATTATAGTTATATAGTATACTGATGGTTCAAACTTACTTTTTTACAATGAAAATCATTTAATCGATGATTTTTAATAACATTTTTATTTAGTTAAGTAATTTCCAAAGGCAATGGCAAAGGATGATACACATTCACGGCCCATTTAGTTTAGCCCACAATGGTGTAAGCCCATGTGATTTGGCATCGTAGGCCCATTGAAACAGCAAGACAGGTGATTGTATCGCCCTCTCCGACTTGCCATCGGCTGAATCACAGACAACGCTCGGTTCTGCTCTAGCAATGGCAGCTGTAGCTCGCTTTTCCAGGAAGGCAATAGCATCAGCGGTTGGGACTAATCAACTCCGCCGTGCTTTGTCGACGGAAGTGTCCAAGACGATCGCGCCATCGCCGGATCGAGTGAAGTGGGACTATAGAGGTCAAAGAAAGATAATCCCGCTCGGCCAGTGGCTCCCCAAAATTGCTGTCGACGCCTATGTTGCGCCCAACGTCGTCCTTGCCGGACAGGTTAACGTCTGCGACGGGGCCTCCGTCTGGGCGGGTTCGGTTCTCCGCGGCGATCTCAATAAGATTACAGTCGGGTTTTGTTCTAATGTCCAGGAACGGTGCGTCCTCCATGCTGCTTGGTCATCTCCAACAGGTTCAATTCAGTTTACATGTTTTTATGTTCTTCTTTTTCTGTCATTTACAGATTTTTATTTTCTCTAATTTTGACGTTTGGTGATTGTTTTCCTCGGTTCCGTGGAAACGTGAATGAGGGAAGGGTCATTGGCAACTGCACACACAATTTTAATTTTCTGTTTGTTTAACTTGCCCTTTCAGGAGATAATGATTTTAATCTATACAATTTTTTCTCGACTCTTTAAAAGATCTGTTGTGTAGCTGATGCAATTATTCATTTCCGGCTATTTGATCTAAAACATAGAATGAAGTATCTAGATTTTGGTTTTCTGGAGATTTAATAGATTCGTGTAATTGGAGCTACTGGCTCTGAGAAATATGCGTTATAATTTCTACATGTCATGTTAACGAATAGCGAGGTTTCAGCAATAGTCTTGCCATCGGCAAATGTGTTCATCGTCTTAACTTTTAACTGCGATGCTTTCATTGGATAGTGTCTGAAATCTATATTCGCGGTTGAACTTTAAACTTCGAACTTCTTCATACATACCGTATTCTGCCAGTGGATTCGGTCATTCTCTGACATTTTGTACTTGCGTGTCAAAGTGGGTTTTGAATTATCCATGTGCGTGGTAAACAATGATAGAGGCTTATTTGATGGCTTTAGAGTTGATTAGTGTCCATCCTCTCTCTCCTTCCAGCTCTTCCAGCTGTTAGAGGTGTTATTTTTTTGGAGACTAAGAGTTTGTTAAGGATCCTGCATTGAAAAGATAAGCTACCTAACAATGATTTATAATATACATAAGCTACTCCTCAATTGGTTTTGTGATGGAATCCATAAATTTTAATATGGTATTGAGTCCAATAAGCTTAACTGAGCATCCGATCAAAAAATAGGATCCGACCAAGATTGGTGAGTCCAAAAGAGCCGCCATCTTGAGGGGACATGTTAAAAGTCCAACGTTGAAAAGATAAGGAACCTAACAAAGACTTATAATATACATGAGCTACTCCTTGTTAATTGGTTTTGAGATGGAAGCCCGTAAATATTGATAAGATTATTTTCCTAATTCGAATCACATTCCTTACCTCGTTTAGATTTTATCTGGTTTAAAAGTCAATAGGGCAAAAAAGATCCATTCCTATTGTTAATTGTGATTATTGGTGGGCATGCAAGTGGGGTTTGATCGTGGGTTGCGAGATTGCTAGGTTATCCCCTCATATATCTTTGTTTTTCTTTGGGAAATAATCCTATCTTGTTCTTGTTAAAATAGTGTTGTCCAATTGCTTCAATAACATTGGTCCAACCTTATGGACTTCTAATCAATTCGTGTGTTGTCGTTAGCTCTCCGACACTCCCCATCCATGACAATTTGGTGGTTTCATTCTAATCATATTGTCTAATTGCTTCGATCACAGGAGCTAAACTGTTATAGTTATAGCACCAAGCAGGAATCTAGCATCATGGAAGAATCATGCTTTTCGGATAGGGAGTAAAACCATTTTGTCTTTGTGTTTCTTAGTAGAGGACGTTATTGATTCTAAACTAGCTTTTGAATGTTTTAATTTGATGACAATCTCTTGCCTGAATGGTTAACCAATGTGTCACCGAACACCTCTCCCTCAAAAGATCTACATCTACACTATTAACTTTATGTACACTGTTTTCTTAGATCTTTCACTTATTCATTGAAACATCTCATGTAATTTCTTCTTTCACATGACATGATATGTACAACTTTTTCTTTGTGTGCATGTGCAACAACGTTTTCTTGTACTCAATATACCTCTATTTCATTTGAACCTTATTCATTGGATATCTGTTCTAATAGTTGGCATCCTCATCAATCATATCATCATTTTAAAATTTAGTAGATAGTTTGAGGGCGTTACAAAAAGATGAGAGATAAGGAGAAAACAGAGGAAGGGTTTAAAAGGGAAACCCAATTAACCGTACCATCATCTTACGATTAGTAGATAGAGATAGGGAGTTACAAATGAGAGAGGAGCAAAAAGATAAGAGAGAGGGAGAGTCAGGTCGTACAAGGAAGGTAGAAAAAGTCCATGAATATAGAGACAATGAGAGATTTAGAGAAGAAGATGTAAAGCCAATGAATAGTGACTGTGTGTGTCCATGAATAGAGACACAATGAGAGATTTAGAGAGGAAGATGTAAAGCCAATAAATAGTGAAAGTGTGTGTCCATGAATGGAGGGACAATGAGAGATTTAGAGAGGAAGATAAGCCAATGAATAGTTATAGTCTGTGTGCGCAAGTTGTTGTTAAGTTGCTTCTACCTTTTATATTATTTTAGGTTTAAGTGCTACTTTAAAGTTTGGCTCCGACTTTATAGCTAAAAGCTTATCTTTGCCTAATGATATTGATATTCATACATTAGCCTCTTTCTGTCAAGTGCATGCTATTGCATTTTTCAGTATTGGTGATGAAGCGTACAAGTCTCAACTATTTGTTTCTAGAGATTTAGGGGAGGTGAGAGGTGTTGGGAGGAGGTCTGGTCTTTGTTAGGTTTAATGTCGCTTTGGGATTTGGTTTCTAGAGATTTTTGTAATTATTTGCTTGGTCTTATTCTTTTGGATTAGAGTCCTTTCTTGTTTGTTTGGCTAGTTCTTGCTTGGCTCCTTTTTGGGTGGTTGTTCTTATAGCCTGTTTTCCGTTGGTCTTCTTGTTGGCCCGTTGGTTGGCATTTTTTTTTTTCATTTTTCTCTATGAAAGCTCAGTTTTGATTAAAAAAGATATATATGTGATGTTCCAACTTTGTGGCCTCAAGTCCAGAATAGGCATTAAAGTTCCAAGTGAGGAAAAAAGGGCACTAGTCATCCAAATTTGACCAAGTTTGCTTGGTCTTAATCCATAATTGATTTCATTGTTTTTTTTTCAAAGAAAAAAGGTCCATAATTGATAATCTGTTAGTTGTCAATTTTGAGAAAATGAAATCCATCTATCTTATTGGAGGCAAAGATGCAGTTGGATATAAAGATGAACTAAAATTTGTAATGCTGCTTACTTCCTTATTTCAGTTCATGAAATTTGTACTGTTTTATGCTTTAATTTCCCTCCATATCTCAATCTCAGGACTGCCAGCAGAGACATCCATAGAGAGATTCGTTACGATCGGTGCATATAGTCTGCTGCGGTCCTGCACAATTGAGCCCGAGTGCATTATTGGGACGCATTCCATTCTCATGGAAGGATCCCTGGTTGAAACCCACTCTATTCTTGAAGCTGGGTCCGTGGTTCCCCCAGGAAGGAGAATTCCAAGTGGTGAACTTTGGGCAGGAAACCCAGCAAGGTTTGTTAGAACACTGACCCACGAGGAGACCTTGGAAATTCCTAAACTTGCTGTTGCAATTAATGATCTGAGCGAGGAACATTTCTCAGAGTTTCTTCCTTACTCCACAGTATATTTGGAGGTTGAGAAATTCAAGAAGTCTTTGGGTATAACCATATGATGCAACCCGTCTTCTCATCTTATTGCATTTTGTTTGTCGAGGAAAATAAATATCTCCAAATCATAAACCAGCTTTCAGGTTCCTTGATTTCGCGTTGATTTTGCTGGCATTGTAGGATCAAATGGATTTTATTAGTTTAAGATTACTGTTTTTGTTATCACTTGGATCCGTTGTGGATAGTTAAAATCCACCAATGACTTGTAATCTCCCGTGTATGTTTTACAGATAACATCTATATGTTCCAAACGACACATTTGGGTTTTTCGTTTGCCATTTCCCAGGTATCTTAAGAAGTTGGCTCTGTAAATGTTTCAAGGAATGTCTGATGAACCTTTCCTCCCTTCTCTCCTTTTATTCAATTGATGGCATTGACTCAGGTTATCCAATCCAGGTCTCCTGCCTACGAGATTGAAAAAGTGTCTAGGGAATCCGTTGACAAGAAGTTCTCTGGTGTCTTAATTCAGAAGAGGAGCTTTTAGGTAATATTAGGTCTTTCTCCACAAATTAAGCATACAAAAGTGGGGCAAATACGACAAGGTATTAGGTTTTAGCACCAAGATTATGAATCTTCATTTATCATTCGCGCGACGTCAATAACCAATCTTTAGTAAACAATGCATCAATAATGATATATTCTTCCCACCAAAAAGATCCGATGGAAAGTTTTGTGTATATTCTAGCTCCATTGACTTGCTATATTAGTTGTTGAGAGTTGTACTGGTCTCTCTTTATAAATAATAAACATATCTAAAGTCTTTCCAACAAGCCCTTCGTGTGAAAAGCAGCACCAATCAGAAGCAAAATTGGTTACTTTTCCAAGAGCCTCCAGGCACACCACAGCACTAAATAAGGCAATAATAGGATTATTTAGCTCAAGTCTTTTTCTGTAAGTTGAGACACTCAGCATGCCGAGGAATTGGCCACCTTGTGAACTCGTCACAAAGTCATCAACCACAACCACAACCACCTACAGTCGTGGAAGACCTGATCATGGAGAACATGAAAAAGAAAGAAAAAAGAAAAAAGAAAAAATCTCTCTCTTACATGTTGTCCCTCTTGTTATTAAAGCCGAGATATAGACATCTCAACCATTCTAATTTCTAATGCTCATTCCACTTGTAAATTTCTCTCTCTCCCCTTCTCCTTTGGCCATATCGCTTGTGTATTTATTCAACCACTTGTGTCTGTCTAGACATGGTATTCCTCTATTTCTCAAGATGCCCTCCACAGAGAAGAATGAAGCCATTTTTTCATTCAGGTTGTGACAAAAAGAAACAGATGCTGTCTATGGTTTGTTTTCTTGTATCATGCCTGATGTTGGAACGGTTCAATCAAATCAAATCTCCCAAGAATTGGGTCTTTTATTTTGATTGAGCCGTGCCAATATCAGCTTCGGAATTGTTTGTTCTTCTGATTTTTGCATCTAATCTTTCATCTTGTGACTCTTGTACTTTAACATGGCTTAGAAATCATATTGTTAGTTCGCGTGATTATTGCATTTAATCTTTCATTCTCTCCTTTAACTTGCCTAAGAAACCATATTGTTCGTTCTTCTGATTATTGGAATATTCTTTCAAGTTCTCCTTATTAACATGGCTTAGAGATGGGGATTTTGAGACCATCGAAGACCGTACATTCTTTTACTTCCACGAAACACATTTAGGGGTAATCAAAGCAAGCAAGAGAAGCTGATTAGCCACCATGATGGCCACTAAAGAAGGTCTAAAAGTGTAGCTTATGTTCTTTTTGATTTGGGATCCCAATATTAGGTAGGATTAGATGAATTAAGGCAAGCTTTATGGACTTGATGGGTATTTTTTATTTTCAGTATGCATTAAACAAATCCCTTATAATTGCGACACCTGTGCCTATTCTCTTGGTTGCTATTTAGATTGTAGAGCAAATGCATGGCTTCTGAATTAAGATCTTCTCACATACATCATTACTGAGCTGGATTGATGTTGCTGAAGTAGGAAAAGAATATTGGACAGCAAGTGATGCTGCTCCAAAATGAGCAGCCAGGAAGCGAGACCGGCTGCTTCTTCAAAAAATTGAGATTGTGCCATCTTACTGGTTCTTTCTTTTTGACTGAAGTACAAGGAATGAAGAATTTACAGCTCTAGATGAGGATGTTACTTCTACTCTCCTACGTTAATAAAGACAGATGTACATTGTGAAAGAAGAAGAAGAAGAATAAGACAATTTCTCATAGCCAATCCACCATCATTGTAGTTTCTCTTCTTGTCATAAGAGACCAAGAACAAAAAAAAAACAAGAAAGGGCCGGCTTTCTTACATTCTAATTGCCTTGTATCTGTGGCAGCTCACGCACATTCTAAAAGTAACGGCAAATTACAACATTTTCTTTTAAGTTTCTTTTTACCTTTTCTTTTTAAGTAATTTGATTGGAATGTAGTACTTTTTACCATATTTATAATTTCATTTTTTAGTCACTATTATGTTATATCAAAGTTTTCTGTTGATCATTTCACTCTTGAAGTTAAACCTTGTTAATTAGAAAGACAAGTTAATGACATTGAATTTTGCCATCATAAACATAGCTCAATTAGATAAGATATTATACATTTATCTTTAAGGTTTGACGATTAAATCTCTATCCCAATGTTGAACTAAAAAGAAAAAAATGAAGATTTCTTATTAATGATTTTAATTGGAATCCGAAGAAAAGAGAGCATTTTATAATTTTATGAAACCCGATTCCAGGGGGACCGAGAGAAGATTTCCAGGGTCCCATAAAGGATTGAGATATTTACAGAACCATTGAGTCGTTTTTCTTTTTCATTTCAATGGTTCCACGTCAAAAAGAAAACTTATCTTTTTCATCTTGCTTCTGATAAGTTATTAGTGGGAGGCCTTCCCCATTTTCTAGTTAGAATAGAAATGAAATGGAAAATGAGCTAAAAAGAACAAAAAGCTGATGCCTGAGGCTGACTGAGACAAAAATAAGCAGTCAAGAAGACAAAGGCAATATATCTTTCGGCTTTCGGTTGAAATTTGAAACAGTAAGAGCAAATCAGCATAAAGCAGGTAAGAAAAATACTCCAAAAGTCAATGGAAGTTGAAATGAGAGAAGTATCATCGTGCATAGCAGGCAGGCAGCAGTTAAACTTTAATCTATAATAGAGTGAACATTCTTCCAAATATCATGGACATGGGTTTCCAGAATCACTGTTTTTTTTTTCCATTCTTTTTGATAAAAAAAGATCAGTTTTTTTGTACTGTAGTTACTTTATTGCCAGTGAAAAGGAAGGGATGGCGTAGGAGCTTCATTCCCTCCATCATCTGAAGCAATGTGGAACATTCCTGAGCAATTGATATCAGCATTACTCACACTGCCATTCAGAACTGAATCCACTGGATTTAAGCTGCTGTGATTACCTAAGTTCACATCTAATGGATGCAAGAAGGATATTAGATTACGGTCCTGCTCGACTTGGCTTAAACCGATCCTGGATGACTGTGTCTGCAAAGATGACAGAAGAGAGAGAGCACAATCCGATTCATGGCCCGGAGTTGTGAACCTGTCGTATAACATTTTGCTCTGATCGCCTCCATTTTCTGAAAAAGCAACGGTCTTGACAGGTGGCTGGCAGACCGAAAATTCCGACGGATTGTCACTTTGCAGAAATGGGAGCTGCTTTCCAATTTTGTAGCTGCTATCGTTTGATGACGATCCAAGATAGATGTTGTGTTTATCAGGGAAGTGGGTTGGTTCTGGCTGACCTTGAAGCCTTACATTTGTCTCGGTATTGGCAGCTCCACACCAGGAATGGTTCATTACAATTGTAGATGGATAGACACATGAGGTAGAAAATGGTAAAAGTTGGGAACCTGAAAGGAAAAAAATGGCATGTTAGAACTAGAAGAGTTTGTACTTCACAGTAACAAGAGAAAACTTTTTCCAACTTAGCACTTTTATAGGAAATAAAGTTGGATCCATATCAAAAGCAGTCATCTCATACTCTTCACAGAGTCTAGAGTGAAATTGGCATATAAGCCTCCTGGGTTAGCAAAGCGAATCGGAAACAAGGAAATAGTAGTTTTTGGCATCTGATTTTTATCTTAAAGTGAATTGGTTGGTTCATGTGAATAACTTGGGAAAATATTCAATCAGAGTGAGTTGGATGAAGTGACATCTTCAACATACAGGTTGTCAAAGAACAACTGTGGAGGTGGAAATAACAGATGAAAGTAAAATCAAAACAAAAGAGGCAAAACATCAAGTTCATTAGATCAATGGCCACAGTTAACCTTGGTAATGAGACAAAATGCTTCGTGATAGGGACTCTGGCTGGGGCTTTCGTCGCCTTCGATTGTGTCCATCGAGACGTTTCCTGCAGCTTCTCTTTCCTTCATCAAATTCGTCTAGCGAATGGAACCTATATAGCATGGAACCGTTATTGAGAAACTAAGCCACTAGAGCCAGGACTAAGAAATAATGCATGAAAGTGAGTAGGACTAAAGTTTCAATATGAAAGCCGATGTTAATATGAAAGTGAACAAATAGATAAACAAGCAGCAAATAAATGAACTCTGTACCTGCTACACTGTTGGCAGAACCTTTGTTTTAGGCCACCAATAGTAACTTGGGGAGTCTTTGAATGGAGCTCACAGACCTTGTGACGCCTGTGGTAGTCTCTATAGTTGCTAAGGTCTGAAATACATCCATCAACAAGGCATGACAAAGGCTGAGCCCCATTGCCAGATCCTCTTGCTCTCTTGGATGGTTCTGAAGGGGATGGTGCCATTTTAAAGACTCCAGGTTCATTGACTACATATCTTGTTCCCAGATCACCGACCTGACCGAGTTTCAAATCGACCGAGAAATCCCCAGAAGCTGTCCTTTGTTCAACAAAGCTGCTGGATGCCTCTATTGTTGTATTAATGTTTTTTAATGCATCTTGTTCCAATTGAGCGAAATCCCAAGATGGAGTCTTTAAGTTCCAGTCCATAAAGAATAATATTTCAGTTCTCGGCTCCTTTTCCACTTTAAATGAGCACCCTTTAAAGAGTTTGAATCACTTTTCTGATGACTACATGAATGCACCAAATTCAACTACTGAAGAACACGGAAGTCTAAAGAAAGGATGAAAGAAAACTGAGTTAAGAATCCCCAAGAAATTGGAGCACTTTAATTGCAATCAAGTCCACAAAATTAGTATCAAGTACCTTATGACACACAAGAAATGCATAGAACAAGAACATAGTCCACTAATCAATATACAGAGAGCAGCAATACAAGAATTGAAACAACAGGAACATTTAAGAACACTTATTTGCATGTCCCCTATACCAAACGCAAGAACATCACATCATGGTGATTCTGGCTCTTTCCTTTAAGCAAAACTGATAATAGATCACCAGTAAAGTTGCAGTTGCAGATATTACTCCAAGAGGATGGGAGGAACCAGAAGAAGAAGTCACAAGACTTGTAAAAAATAAGTTGAGAGTTAAGAAAGTTAAAGATGAAGAGTTCTTGCAGAAAAGAGCAGCAGAAGACAAATGGGCTGCCATTTTACAACCATCCATTCACTGACATGGATTCCACCAAACAAATCAAAGTTTGTAGTCAAGAAGGCAAAAGTAAAAAGCCAAAAGAGAAGGGGGAAAAACCCATAAAAAGCTAGGGTTGTAGGTTACTCAAGAAGAATCACTCGTTGTACCTGTCAACAAAATGTCATTGTTAAGATTGAAGGTCGTTCAGTCTAGACTGAGAGAAAGTGGGTATGATGCAAAAGAGGTGGGAAGAGCTTTTTTTTTTTTAAGGGAAGTGGGCAACTGCAACTCCATGAATAGCTAAAAGGAGCCACCAACTTTATAAAGATTCTTCTGAATTTACCCTTGCCTTTTTTTTTTTCTTATTTATCTTCTACTCTTGGTTAGGGTTTGTTTAAGATGGGGGAGCTGGAGAAAGGTTGATACTAATAAAGAGTAAAGACAGCTGTTTGTTGCTTTCAAACTTTCTGCAAACAAAGAAAATGAGAGAAGTTAATCAAAAACTGGATGTTGGTGGAGACAGTCAGAGCAAGTGGGATATAGGGTAGGCATTGTGTTTCACATTTCTTGGCATGTTTTCTTTTTTTGGGTTTCAAATAACAAGGAAAAAACAAAATGTATATACCATACCACAACCACAACCCTTTGAGATTGAGAGAGACAAACTCCACACTGGGATTTTTTCCCTTTTTCTTTTGACAACTTAAAACTTGAAAGCTTATTAGAAACCCCAAAAAGGAAATTCATGCCAATACTTTTTGTATTTATTTTTTTTTCAAGGGAAAGGTGAAGAAGCAAATGATTTGCCCAAAACTGGTGCTGAGCTGTCTGCCCCCACCCCATTTGATGATTGTTGTTCCTAACTCTGAATGTGCATTGATTAATGCTTGTCTATGAGAAAAGAGGATTTATATTTCATTGGCCCAGCTCCTCTGGAATGAGAGTCCAAGGAGACAGACCTTGTAATTGTAATTGGCTTGCATTAAGCTTCTGATGATCAAGTTTCTTCTTCTTCTAATGGCTGCCTGAAATCAATCCTCTTCATCCTCATCGTGGGCTTGGATGATCATCATTAGCATCAAGCAGAGCCTGAAATGAAAATGGATAAGGTAGAATCACAGATGAAAAAGACTAAGATGAAGCATAATCGAAAATGGGTTTTCTTAATTTCTTTATATTAAAGGAAGGAGAAAAACCCCTCAAAATGGGGAAGGAAAAGAAGAAAAAAAAAAACAGATGCAGAATCAGCGAAGTTACAGTGTCAGTGAGTGACAAGAAAACACAGAGAAGCATTTAAAGGATGCCCAAACTCCAACCACCAAAAATGGCAAGTAAAGGAAGGTTTAAATGCCAATGTCGGTACGACCCATTACCTGTCCATTTTTTCAACCAGCAAACCATAATCTCTCTAATTTATTAATTTAAACTATAGAATGAAAGATAGAAAAAGAAAATGTTCAAATGCAGCGGGAAGAATTCGTCAAACTAACTTCGAACCTGGGTGAATGAGTAATTTCCTTGCCTTGTCATGAACAACAATCAACTTCGCTATGATCAATCGATCACATGGTAACAATGAGTTCATCCTAGTTGATATATAAGCTCTTTTGTCAGTTGTATAATATACACACCTCCAAATTTAAAAGTGGGATTTTTTATTGGTCACGACCAATAAGAAAAGAGAAGAAATAGAATGGTAGTAATAAAGTTGTACACGTGGATTCCAATTTGCAGTGAGCAAAGAGACAAAAGAAACAAAGAGATGTATTGTATTTGATTTTTTTAAAATAAACCAGATGTTTTTAACCACTGACGATGAATTTATTAAAGGAATAATCTGGTTCTTAATTCTTTTTTTTTTATCGTAATTATTCAAATAGAGTCAAGGCACGTGACCCTAAGCCAACCATTAAATTCCAAAAATCTCCCATCAAACTTCATTCTCCCAATGTTAACTGTCCTTTAATTTTTATATTTTTAATGACCAATTGCGCCCTGACTTGCCACCACGGGAACTGGAAGTAATTAAAAATTATAAACCGTTGATTTAAACATACTTTAGTCCTTATATTTTATAAAAATATGTAAACCTAGAGTTTTTTACATAAAAATTCCTGCTGTAACTGAGACATACAAATATGTACATAATTGAATCGTCTTTGATTTTAGATTATATAAAGTTTACAGATCTCATTCACTAACTAATATTTTTTGCACATGTTTTTAATGTGAAAAACACTAGGTTTTAACTTTTAACCTAACGAATTTCTTGTATTTGACCATTAGTAGATGGAGAGGGGTAAATTTTTAATGGGCTTAATGAATTGAGGTGGTCGGTCCAGCCCAATACACGGTCATTCGGCCCATAAATTGTCATATTTCTTCCTCAATATAATTAAAATTAAGAAAAAAAGGAAAATTAGAAAAATAAATAAATAAAAAGAAGGAGGAAAATTAGTGGAGGGGGATGAGCGGTGGTGGGGGAATATTGCAATCAGTTTGTCAGGCAAAGTTAGAATAGAAAAGTGAAAGCTAAGGAGGATAATTATGGTTTGGCCATCTCCATTACGGCTCCGGCTGCCTACCCAAGTCTCTCTCTCTATCTTTTTCTTTTAATTATAAAATGTATCCAATCAAGTCAGTTTAATTGATTGGAATAACAAATATGATGTATTATCGATGGATTTATTTCATTTTGGTTTTCTGCGATAAATATTTAATTGGTCTTGTTCGGGTACTTTAGTTCATATTATCTATGCCATATTATTTTGTAATATGGTAAAGTTTAATTTATTTAGAGGACTAAAAATATAATTGTCACAGTTGAAATAATTCGAGTACTGTGATTGGTAAATGAATAATACTCATTGGTGAAGGAAAATAGAGGAATGGAGAAAGAAAGAATTAAAAAAAAAAGAGATAATTGTATAATTTTGAATATTGATAAGTGAACGAGAGATTAAAAATAAAAATTGGAAGGAGGATATATGGTAGTTATATGAGAAGAGAAGGTGGGCAGTTTCAAATTGCAATCCAATCCCGCTTTAATCTGATGTGAAATCCAGAATCAAAAATAAAAACCTAGAAATCGATGTGTCTGTGTTTGGTCACCCACCAACATATGATATGATGCTCCATAATAATTCCGGCCCAGAGGATGAAGAAGAGCTCATCTCCTACCTCCAGCGCCGTGGAAGCGCCACATTGTCGGGCTCATCCACGTGGAAGATCCGAACCAACGAGTTGGCCCAACACGAGTTTCGAAGAGAACGTAGGGCCGCCGCCGCCGCCATCGCCGCCCGGAAGCTCTCCTACGAGGATCTTCTATCATCCGAAGACGGCAATCAACAACAATTTCCCGTTTGTCTCAACGCTCTGTCTTATTCCTCTGCCTCCTCCTCCTCTTCTTCTGCTGCTTCGTCTTCTCCGTTAGGTCAAGATTTTAAACAACAAAAGGTACTCACCCCGCCGCCGCCTCTAGTTGAGAACACATCAGAAGAAGCTGATGATCAGATTCCCTGCCTTCCCATTTCCATTGCCATTGCCATTGCCACTGCTTCCCTTGTAATTATATTGCTTATATTTTCGCTCTGTTGTTTGGCCTTTACACCACACGCTGTTCATCAACAACCACCTCCATTTCTTTTAGTTCCAACTTAAATTAACAATTTAGTTCAGATAGCTTTCTTAAATCTCCCTTGCCAAATTATAATCTGATGTAGTGCATTTTGTATTATCAAACATAAAGATGAAGGAATGATCGAACCACGCGAGACTAACGGAGGAAGAAGATGATCAAAATGGAGTTAGTAGCAGTTAAATCAATTATGAATTTGAATCTTCCTTTTTTATCGCTCTTACGAACTTACGACTAACCGTTCCCAATGAAATTGCGGTTTTCTTTTATAATCATTTATTTAATACTAACAAATTAAAAAAATAATATTGCCAACTATTACGCTTCCTTGTTGATCATGATGTAGTATTCTATTGAACTGATCTTTTTTTTAATATAGATTACCAAATTTTTTGTTAGTACATGTGAGGTGAATTAGTAATTTTACATGTGGGTTTGCTTCAGAAAAGATAAAAGGGTTAATTAATGACATTGTGTTTTAATACTTCTCTTACATAAAATTGAAGAGAATGCATGGGCCTGGGACGGAATTAGAACAATCGGCCCAAAGACATATGTATGGGCCGGAATTCTTGCCGTATGCTCACTCTGGGCCTGTCGAAGCAGGGCTCCACAAATAACGCAAGCCCATATTGAACGCTACCATGACAACATACCCAAGCCGTAGAACGCTTCCTTGTTGAGCAGCGAAGATTAGAACAGACTGTTTACAGCCTCCGCCATGGCCCATTTCTTCTGGTCTTTTATCTCTCTCTCCCTCAATCTTCAAGTTTTATTCCAAATTTTTGTTCACTTCAACTGTTCTTCCAAGATTAGTTTGTTGTGATGCATATAATTCTGAACGTTTCCTGATTTCGATTGTTTTTCTGCGTCTTCTTCTTCCGTAATTTGGCTCTCATTTGAAGGCGCTGTGTAAAGATGGTATGTGGATAGAAACTCTTGGAACCAAGCAGAAGCAGAAGCAGAAGCTCCTACCATTTGGACTCTCAGGCTCGGCCTGTTAAGGTTGTATCACCCATCAGTTTCAGTATCAACTAACGAAACTGCCATTCTTCTCTTTGTTTCTCGTCTCCTCAGTCCTCCCTCCACTCCAGGCTCCATTCCCAAATCCGACAATCATGCACTCTCCGTCCCTTCGTTTCCACCACAACATTACTCCTACCTCGCCCTACAACTTCCATCACTTTTTAGGGCTTCACCTCACTCCCACTAAATCCTTCTGTCCTTCTTCTCTCTTCTACTCCAATTTCCCTATCCCAACTTCTAGTAGCAAGGCTATCCCAGTCTACTCCCATAGCAAACCCCACAACCGCAATACAAATGCTAAAGGGAAACATGGAACACCCAAGGTCAAGGGTAACAAGCAAAATGTATGGAGCGTGGATAACGACCTCGCCAAGGCCCAAAAAGAGAGGGACACTGATAGAACAACTAGGAGGAAGCCGAAGGCGTCACGGGTCGTTAACAGGAAGAGGAACGAAACTGGCAGAATTCTGGTTTCTGCTGCTATGTTGATGGAGCTCGAAACTGTTCTTCAAACTCAGGTACTTTCGCCACTTCTTCTCTACCTATTGTCTCCTTGATTCAATTTTACAATTTAATCTCATACTAACACACTGATTCTACTATCAGGAACCTGTAATAAAGCCAGTATGGAATACGTTTGTTAGCAGTGTAAGTGGGATATGGAAAGGGGTGGGCGCGGTGTTTTCTCCTATCACTGCAGAAATGGAGCCCATTGAAATTGGCAACAAAAACGAAAACCTGTATGATTGCTATACGCTTTCTTGTGTTGAGGAAGATCGGTCTTCATCTGGAGGACGGACAGATCAAATTAAAAGGACAGTAAATTGGGTGACGTTAAATCCTTACGGGGAAGCACTCTTAAACCATGGGGATGTTTCCTCAACCTCAGAAACAGTGGTTGGCGGAGGCGTGAAGAACTACTGCTTACCCAAATTTGAGTCTTTTAATTTTGCTGTAAGTGACCTGCTGGAGGAAGATGTCATGGGAAATGAACCCGGCCTTGTCTTCTTTGAGGTGTGGTTCTTTGTCCTTATTCTAGTGGTTTTTCAAGCTTATATACTTTTATCATATTTTGCTGCACTTGAATTGGTTGCAAAATTAGTGCAGAAGAATCAATAAAAGGGATTTTGGGATATCATCATTAACATGTTTTATAAGCTTTACCGTCTTCGTTGTTAAGTGTTCTGGTGCTTTTTCAATTGATGGGATTTTGTGATATCATCGTCAACGTGTTTTATAAAGTTTGCAGTTTGTTGTTTTGCATACTGGTTCTTTCTTTTTTTAGTCTAATGTCATATTGGAGCTTAAGTTGATCTCTGGCGAAAGCATTTCCACCCTCAGGCACCAACGGTGAACTTTGACCTGATGCCTATGTTATGCAATTTATTAATATTAAAATTATGCTTTCTAACTGAATAAAATGTCCATCTGTTCCCACGACACGAAGAATTGTTTGTAGCTTAACTTATTTTTGTCCAAGCATATGGATATTCTGGAAGTAATGAAAATCTCTTAGCTTTGTTGCATTTTCATTTTGTTATTTAAACCTTAAGATCTGTCTGAATGCCATAAGTATAAGCTAATGTTCCTATTTCTCTCCAATTTCCCTTCAAAATAAGGCTGTATGACGATCTCATTGGGCAATTCCAGGATGGATCTTATTCTCGTGGTCCCATCAGTATTCCAGTTGGTGAAGTTGATGATGCCAATTATTACATTAGTCCAACTTTCAAGTTTGAACAAGTAAGTTAAGCTAAGGTCGAACTATTATCTACTTCTTCTTTTGATCTAAAAGCACAAGCTTTCATTTAGAAAAATGAAATAATACAAAAGGACCTACAAAAACCACAGCCCAACAAAGGAACAAGACCTTATGATATATATGTATGTGTATGTGTATGTATATGTATATCTATATGTATGTTTTATGTGTGTATATATATCTACTTGCTGTAAGAACACATTGTCTCTTTGTTTTAATCAAGTCAAAGCCGAGTTCTATATGATATTATCTGAAGTTAACCTTATGATTAGATATAGTCCAAGAAACTCTTTGATTCTACAACTTTGAAAGCTTTTCTATTAAATTGAAGATAACACCAATTTCATTATTTCAGTAATCACCTTATGTACACTGAAACAAGAATTGTAGGCGTAACATCTCTTGCCTTTTTGGCATTCTTCTTGTTCTCTATTAAGCAAATATAATTTTATTTTCAGCATGAATTTAGGAGCCCTCCAAATCTTTTAATAGCTCAACAAATCACTTTTTAGCACATTCCATGTTTTTTAATAAATTAGTCCCAACGATTTAATCCCATAGAAAGATTTACCACTTTGCCTGGAATTTCTGGAAATCATCTTCGGCACCTTCTTTTTTTTTTTTAGATAAGAAACCATGTATTATCTTCGGCACCTTCAATTGGCTACTCCTCTCCTCAACAACATCAAAGGCTTGCTCACTCTCAAATTGGCATCCGCTGGCTTTTCAAGAAAGAGATTGAAACTTTGTGGCTCACTTTGAGCCTTCTTATGATCTTATAGATTGAAAGAAATAGCACTTGAAGATAGCAGCATGCCTCAGACCTTACCACCAACAACCTTCTGAGCTCAGATGGGATGATCTGCTCTGTGCTATCCATCCTTAAACTTATCTTCTGTTTAGGATTCCATCTTGATGAGTAACTCGTCAAAAAATTCTCATAGAAGAAAGCTAACACATAGAGGCTTAGCTTTATAAACAAAAACTTGAAGATAACATTGACTTGTTTGCCAGAATCACTTTAACAAAAACCCATACTTATTTTGCGTATAATTGGATCTTGGTAGTTGAATTCTTGCAACCACATAACAAGTACTATCTTTTCCATTACATTCTGTCACCTCTGTTGATTTTATTTGAGTCTCTTGGGTGCTATATTTAGTTAGTTTCATCTTCTTTTCACCTTTCCAATGATGGTTTTAGAGTTAGCTGATATCTGGTCGTTTTAGTGCTTAGTAAAAGGTTGCCATAAAAGGCTACGCATCATCCATACCATTGAGTTCAGTAGTGGTGGATCCGACATACAGATACTAAGAGTTGCTGTGTATGAAGAACAATGGGTCAGCCCTGCAAATGTTTCTGACGTAAGGTATTCTTTTCCATTTTCCATTGGATTTAACCGTTCTAAATCTTTGATTATTTTATCTTTTAAGTGGAAGTGTGAAATTGCTTTTCCATGGGCCTTTATTGCTTGAATTAGCTTATCCTTAGTTTAAGTAAGTACCATGTATGTAGCCTGCTAGGAAGCATGGACGCTTTGTCCTACAACATTTGTTAGACATGGATTCATCTAGATACGTGTGTGACATGCTTGAAACGTGTCTGGTATTATATATAATTTTTTCTACTTTCCAACACATCTCAACATGCATAATGGAGAAAATTCATTCCATGTATTTCCATGTAAGAGCAACGTTAAAAGTTAAAAATGGTGCTGGAACAGATTCTAATGCTTATATATTGATCACTCCTAAACTATTAGGATGTCATCTTTTAACTCTTTTTAGTTATTGACTTATCACGGTGTCTATGTCCATGTTTGTTGGGCAATACGCTTTAGATATTTGTTTGGTGGTGGGATGAGGTTTTCTTTAATATGTGGAGGATGATGAAAATGCTTCTTTTGATGCATTATTAACTCTTTTGCTACTTAGTTGGAGATTGAAGAATGGCCAATATGATGAATTACAGTTTTAGAGTTTGCTCATCAATTTTTTTTCCGTGAATAGTAGCTTCCATTGTTATCAACAATTACTGCTTTGTTAAATAAATTTTTTGATAACGGGTTCAAAACGCTTGATTGTCTACAGTGATATAGAGTTTGATTTAAAGCCATTTTCTCAACGGAAGCGAATCCAACCATCAGAACTTACAGGGTCCTGGAAGGTGTTTGAAATAAGTGCAACCCCAATTTATGGTGAGGAGACAATGGATGAGAGCAATGCTGCTGGTGCCCCATACGTGTATCTCTGCACGGAAACGTTAAAGAAAAGGAGCTTACCAGGAAACCCGGTATATTTCAGGGAGGAAGAAGTGATGGACATACAGGACGTTACGATGCTGTGGCTTGCAGGTGGTGTCACTGGGTATGTTGATGTGAAAAGGGATGGTATCCTTTGCATTGGAGTTGGTTGGTACTCGGATGAAGGAATCAACCTTGTTATGGAGAGGGATTATGGACTGGATGGAAAGCTGAAGGAAGTAAGGTGGAAATCCGAATTAAAAAGAAGGTGGTCTGACCCGTTACCTGTGTGAATTACCTTGAAATTCAATTGAAAAATACAGGGTCAAGTAGTAACATGATATGCTGAATCCATGCCTTTTTTTTTTCTTTTTTCTTTTTTCATGTCATTTATATATTATACCCAATCCATAATCATATTATCTTTTTTGCAAGGAAACTCTTATTTCATTCAGCTCCAGTTAATACACCATCCATTTTGATTTGACATTTGTTTATCTCTATTCTGAAATGCCAGCCTTAGTAATAATATCTCAATGCGACAGATACATCCTCAAAAAAGTGCAACCCCTATGTTCATTAATTTTGATCACTAATATTATTTTTATGTTTAAATTATAAAGTAAGTATTTCTTTAATTGAAGTATAAATTTAGTATTTAAGCTTTATTACTGTCCAAAAATTTGGAAGGTTTTAATAACATCATGCCACTACATAAATGGTGAATGTTGACAAATTACATTAAAAAAATCACAAGCAAATAACTCGCACGGGTTCAATTAATCTCGCACTTCGACCGGTAAATAGCATTCCGCTTGGGCTTCCTTATATTAATTTTGTTAATAATAATTCCAACTGCAACCCCACTAGCCCATAAACAAATCACAACGTGCCACGTGTTTGAAACTGGTGCACGAACCACAGGGTCCCAAATACCGAAAGAAATTAGAAGAAGGAAATGCTTGGCTGATGTGTACAACTTCCTCGCCAGTGGCCACCATGGTCATCCACGTGTATAGAAGAAGCAATTGAAGAGAAAGAGATCAATTATTTATTTAAAGTGAAAAATAAAACAATAAAGAATCTTGAGGGGCCAAAATTAATTAGAAGTTGATGGAGGGATCCAGATTAAAGCATTCTGTTGATAATTTATGGTTGCCTTTTCAATTGTGGTGTAAAAGAAATTTGATTAAAGCAAGCAATTGACCTTAAATCGCATTGGATTGTGTGTCACGTGTCAGCGAGCATTCTATATCTTAATTATTCAACTCGAGTAATATTATTATTATTATTTATTACTACCTTTTTCTACACTGAATTACAGTTCTTTGAAAGGAAAAAAAAAACAAAGAATTACAGAAGTTCATTTCCATCCCGCTTTTCTTTTTGGCCATACATTTGAAACTTTGACCTCCCGTTGGTCGAAAACACTAACATATTTTCTCGTCTCATAATCTAAGTTTTATTCAAGTCTATGAGATAAACTTCCTATAATTTTACAAATGAATTGTGAAATGAAACTTAAAAGAATTTATATGTTGTGTACAATATAAACTATAATCATGCCATGAGCGATGAGATGGGGAAAGGCAAGAAGTTAAAAGAAGGTTGGGTTAGAGTGTCAAATCATAAAGTTTGGAACTTGGTTTACAAGTTATCATAATGTTGGGATTGGGAATGCAAACAACTATATTTAGTTTGCCTTGTTTCTCCACCGTGCAAATTGCAAATTTAATCTTTTTCCCATTCTAGGGAATGCCGACCTAGTCCAAGATATGAACCTACCACTAATAAGAGCAGACATAAATGTTTATAAGCTTATTGTTAAATTTGTTGATTTTGTTTCGTCCAAAAAGTTTCATACCCATGGTCTTCTCCTTCTCTGGGACTTTGTTTGCATTATTCTTACAAAATCAACCAAACAATAGTTTATAATTTGTGAATTTATTATCTCTTTTTATGAATAATAAGATATTTGATTTAAATTAAGGTTTTATTTTGAAAATAAATAAATGTGAAACAACAAAATATTTTTYCAGATCACTTCTGTCATTTTTCTTTTCTTTATTTAGGGAGAAAAGTAAATGAAAAATCTGTTTGGTTTTGGAGAAAAATATGAGGATGAGGAATTTTCTAGGGTCAGAATAGGTGGATTTAGTTCATCATGCCARACAGATGTTAGTTACATTTGGAACCCTAAAAGTGTAGGGTTAATTAATAAATTAATTTCCACTCCTTTATGATTYAACACCACATATTTATATCCATCTTTGTGGATCATAGAATATCAATGAAGTATTAGTCATTAATCATGTTAAACAAGATGAAAATTTGCTTTATCATCATTGTAGTTAGAAAAATATTTGGTAATTTGACCAATCTTTYTATGTAATCATGATTTTCAACCGCTCTTCTTCAAACTATTATAAGTTTTCGATCTAAATGAAATCAAAAGCGTAAAACTTTAAAAAATCAGTTCTTTACCCTTTTAAACACAATTCTTTAATCGTTGTTATAACTAGAATAAAAGGCAATACTTTAATTTACCTAATTAAATGATCATAGAATTTAACCGTATAATCTCTTTTTTTTCTTATTGAATTTTTCATTTGAAATGAAATACGGTGGCAACAACATGTATTTCAAAGTTTTGTAGGATTCTCCCATTATATACATATAAAAAATTAAAATGTAAAATTTTATAAAGTCTCCAAGTTTTTTTTATACCTTTATATTCCTACACCAAGACAAATATATTTTGGATTTCCAACGTCAAGCCTTTATTTATAAAGAAAAAAAATAATAGTTTATAAAAATCTTAAATCAATTAAATTTTACTAAATGAACTGTTATTTTACTTTAATTGTCGTTAATGGACAAAGGTAGAATATTATTGAAAATAATTAAAAAGAAAAAAGAATCGTAGTAAAATAAAATAAAAATTAAGAAAATAAAACAGAAACAGAAAACTTCTAAAATATTCGACATTCTTTCGACAACATTCTGGTCCATCTGGTCAATACACCGGTGAAATTGAAAATGACAAGTATTCTATAATATAAAATTCAATACGAAATTCTGACAAATTCATTCATATATTTATTGCTTGCGGGAAAGTAATAAAAAGAAACGCTGATATTTAATTTAGCGATCAGGATTTTATTTTGTTTATTTATCTGTAATTAAGAAAAATTGATGGAAAGTGGGCTACGTGGAAATGGAATTGAGTTGGCAGTAATAGAATGGAGAAGAATTAAACGATTGGAGAAATTTTGCAATGATATCCGCTCGGCAAGAAACTGCATTATTTATCATGCCAATAAATGTACCATTCATATTCAGCTTCGTGTATTTACAAGGTCTTAAAAGCTCGTAAATTTTATTTATTTATTTATTTATTAGTTTGCTTGACATCATAGACAAAATGTATGCACGCTATTCTTTTTTCAGAAAAAACAGAGGTCCAGTTATAAAAGTATAAATTCATCCTCTAATATATATCTGTAATATATATGATCATCATTGATATATATCTCTGATATAATAATTATATACAATTGATTTACTTATGGTATAACTATGATATCTACTCAATTTCTAACATGTCTTACCACTGATATACGTATGATAACTATTGATTTACCATGCTGATACAACACATATATATGTGATATGTATCTAATTTACTATTGATATAGAAATGATATATTACTGATATAACTATGGTATTTACTTATATAACTTCTTATATGATTTATCATTGATATAACACCGATATATATTTGATATATATTTAATATGTTTCTAATTTACCACTTATATACCTATGATATAACCATTATATCTACAGATATAACTATGATACATGTGTGTTGATATAATACTATTGTATCAAATATTTATTTTCAGATGAAAACAATGGTGCAAAATTTTTTCTTTTTATTTTTTTGAAATACAAAGGAGTTTACATGGACCATGCATGTCCAAAAAAACAAGTTGAAATGTTGATATGCTTTATAAATTTAAACCGTTGATATCCCTTATATTTAGTATCTAATTGATATTAATATTGAATAAATAGTAGTGATATAGTAATTAACATTATTGATAATATTAGTATATTAATCAACAAATTGAAATGATAAACTAGAATTTAAACATTTGATATACCACTAAAAATTAAACATTTGATATACCTTATATTTAGTATATCATTTGGAAATATATTTAATATATCATAAATTAGAAATACATCAGATATATATTTTATATGTATAATACGTACAATTGATGTATATTAGTGGTATATGTGATAATGTATATCATGGGTACACCTGATACTGTATATTAGGGGTACATCGAATGTTATCAAAAGTATATCAGACTTACATCGGATGTACATTAGATATAGATGGGATGTATATCATATACAAATTTATATAAGATATAGATTTGATGTATGATATACATCAGATTTATATCTGATATAAATCTGATGTATATCAGATATAGATATACATCAGATATATATCAGATATCATAATGGTAAAATTGGAATAATAAAAATTTCGAAAATAAAAATTCAAATATTTTGCTATATTTGAAATTTTGAAAAGTTGGTGACATTTTTTGAAATACATGAAATATTTTTGCTACACACTACAATTACCCTTTATTTTATAGATTTTTAAAAACAAATTTGATAAAAAAACAAATAAAATAGAATACACTAAAATTTGCCTTTTTGATAAAATAAAATATTGTGCAATTAGTTAAATTATTATGGATAATATTTGGTTGTTTACTAGCAGTAATAAATATTTTGATAAAGACAACAAAGTGGAAATGAAAAATATATCTTAAAAAAATAACAAGCTGTCAATTTTTCTAATTTGAATAGAATATCCAACTTTAATATGGATAATAGTCTAAAATTGATGATATTTAATTACTCTATAACAAGCAGTTGGATGAAATGCTTAACCTTAACCCTTCGAATAAGAAGGCATGGGTTTTGATGAAAGTACGAGACGTATAAGAGATAATTCAAATCGACCATATAATTTTTGGAAGACGAACAATAATGTATATCTTATTCATGGTTTGATGCGGTATCTCGGAAATTTAGATGGTGCAATTGAGTTAATTATTAAGACGGTGACAAGCATATGTCATCTGTAATTGATATATATATATATAGAGGGGAAGCTCGTGGCTCTTATAAAAACCCCACGTCATACCACATAATGATACATAACATAGATTGCTAATTCAACGCTCTCTCTCATCTCTCGCCCTTACCACTTCTACCAATTACAAATTACAAATTGCAACGCTCTCTTCTCTAAGCTAAGCTTTTCCATCCACTCCAATTCTAATTCCAATGGGGGAGGTCTCTTTCCCCAACTTCTTCTTCTTCTTCTTCTTCTTCTTCTACCTTTCTTTAATTTCTTTCTTATTTGCCTTCTGAGTTGTGGCATTGTTGTTAATCAGGAGGACAAGAAGCAGCAGGAGGAGACCAAAACAGAGGAACCCGAGAAAGTAGAAGAAAGCAGCGAGGCGAACAAAATTCCTCCACCCCCTGATCAGCCTCAGCTCAATGAAATTGTCCTCAGAGTGTTTATGCATTGCGAAGGCTGTGCCCGCAAGGTCCGCCGCTGCCTCCACGGCTTCCAAGGTTCTTTGCTATTTCGCCTTTTTGCTAATTTACTACTCACACATCTCCTCATGGCTCATCCTCAATAATAACAAAAAACAAAATTAAAACCCATGTTTCTTTTGGTCCCTGTTTCAGGGGTTGAAAGTGTACACACCGATTGCACAACTCATAAAGTAGTGGTGAAAGTGAAAGGAGAGAAGGCCGATCCGCTCAAGGTTTTGGGTCGAGTTCAGAGGAAAAGCCATAGACGAGTTGAATTGATTTCACCGATTCCCGAGCC